CGTTATATTTGAAACTCTCAAGATGAAGTGTAGTCATGAGAGGGAAAATAACCTAAAATGACCTTGAAAAACCGGCAAATTTAACGTAGTTTTCTCATTATAACTACACTTGATCTCAAGAGTTTTAAATATAACGATACGTCCTACGCCACAGGAAATTGCACGCAGATTCCGAATCTGTCCTCGGATTTGCAATCCGATGAACGATTGCTGAGAACGAAACGGATTAAGTTTGCTATGCGTAGGATGGCCGTAGCTCGCAGGATAGCGCGTCGCCGCCGAAAAGTTTCGGAGAGAAATTCATTGTTAAAACATGTATGTTGGTCAAATCCAATGAATGAAAACGATTCCTTGGTCCTTAAATTGTGGCTAAGCATGGCCACTTTTTCAAAAAGTCAAATTTTTAATTGATTTCTAAGCAATAATAGAGGCCGGTGCAGCCCATTCTCGAGCGCCGGGCGGCCGACCGGGCCGTGGCGAGCCGCCCGAGACATGGTCCCAGCCGCGCTAAGGGAGTTTCCACCCGCTGCCAAATTTCATCCAAATCTGCCCACCCATTTAGCCACAGCAGCAGGGATCCTTAACTTAACATTAAACTAACACTGCTTTCATAACGTAACATAAGACAGTGTTCGCTTAAGGTTAAGGGTACGGACTTATGAAAGTACTTGCAAAAGTATATCCACACAAATTCGAGACGTAAAGAAATAACCTACCCTTTTGAAAAGATGTTAGAAGTTAAGGGTAATAACTTTAACTCTTATCATAACGTTATGATGCCCTTATGAGGTAAGTTAAGGATCCCTGCACAGTGCACAGTAGGCTATTTGCATTGAAATTAAGCATTTAGTAGAAAAATCAGCCACGCAAAGTTTTTTGACGGAATGATCTGAAATTTGTTTTGGAGTTACCTAAACCCCTATACTGCAACGTAACAGAGAGATATTTGAATTTTATTATTTCGTTTTGACTGAGCAAACTTCACAATTTTTTAATTGGAAAAAATAAGTTTTTTTCTCCATTTTTTACCACATTATGGTAAACGATTGAAGAAACTGGATAGCTATTTGAAATCTGTTACATTGTCACATGGACCTCAAAGAACTACTCCAAGAAGTATGGTCAGTATAAAACAAAACTGTATGCGTGGCTAGTTGACGGAGTAGAAAAAAAAATTATTCGACACTAAGTGTCTTTACAAGTCTCTACAAGTCTTGTCGTAAGAGTTGGGTGACCAGAAAAGGCGCATGCATGCATCAGTCCATGTTAGATGAACCACTCACTTGGGGGTTCATAACAAAGACCTTTAGGACATACTGTCGGTAATAGGAGAATATTTTACATTAAAATAACAAGTAGATTAAATTTATCATTTTAATCAATTTTGGGGCAAATTTTCACCCACACCTCACCTTAAATTAATTGTCCATGATCATTTTTGGGTAAAATAAATAAAATGAAAGTAGCCATAGCTTTCAAACAAAGCAAAGTCCACGAGAAGGATTATTTTTTTAAAATCAACTCTTATGTTAAGGGCCTCACAAAGTACAAAATCAGCCAAATTGGTGATGACGCGTTTTGTATTAATCAAGAATTAATTTTTATTTTAAAAAATTCAAAAGATTTGAGGCATCATTTTACATGTAGGGGTGTCCCTACAGGAATTTGGTTCAATTTGGACATAACCACACTATGCACAATAAATGAACAGACAGTAGTCTTTCTTAAAGTATTTGTGCATGACATGGCGTGGCGACACCGCCAACGAAGTATTCATGACGCGTAACTCAAATACCAAACACAAAAATTTGTGCTGCCTTCGCTTTCCCAAGCCTTTCCCCCTTCCGCCGCATCCACCTCCCCCTCGCTTCCGCCGTGTGAATTTGCCATCTCTGGTACCACGTAGCCTCTCTCAGGGTGGTGGTACCGAAAAGCGTCTGGTACCCGCTGCCAGCTTCAGCCTCGTAGCTGCGCGCAGGTAACTGTCCTCATCACACTTCGGCACCTTGGCGGTTGTTGTTGCGACATGGAACTACCATCTTGTCTTGTGTGGTTTGCGTGGAACTTCTGCTCCGAACCACCTTTCACAGTGCTCATTCGCCCTGTTCCCAGAGCGTTTCTCCGATTCCGCAGCCCGGACAGTCAACAAACGCTTCGTGTAGTGCCGGCGAGACGAACCGATCGGAGCAAGAGGCGGCCTCCTACAGGAAAGAGGTAAGATGTATTTCAAGTGCACTGCCTTCACTGCATTGTAAATCCAAAGGCAATACTTTTAGTACCTTTTGTGGCGATATGATTGAGTATCGCCAATAAACGGCCGTACGGAAAAGTATTGCCTTCAAAACGGCGATACACAAAAGTATTCCGTAAGGCCGTTTATTGGCGGTACTCAATTGTATCGCCAAAAAATGTACTTTAGTATCGCCTTTGCATTTGCAGTGTGGTGAAACAGAACCGCAGTATTACCCTCTGATTTCAAGCGTGATCATGCGCCCACACTGGTAAAACTAAAGCGTAACACTATGCTTGAGTCAAGCATAGAGTTACGCTTGAAGACGTTACGCTTGAAATCAAGCATACTCTGGAAATTTCACCATGCATTTAGATGGGGAGAATCTTGGCGGATGAGCCTGTTACGCTTGATTTCAAGCGTAAACTGATTACGCTTGAAAACAGAGGGTAAGGGAGTATGGGGCGATTTGTAACAGATTTTGGAATTCTCTGTACAAAATTAAGAACATTCTGCATATCGGCGTCAAACTTGTGCCAGTTGAGCAGTCTGGCCCTTCATCTAGACTGTGCAGCTCCATTGGATCAATCTGGAATCCGTAATCTTCGAAATCTAAGACGCTTTCCAAACCCTTGCATGCTGTTACGAATCGTCCCAGGACGGGGTGATTTGTAACAGCCATGGGGCTTTTCATAACATCCTACATATTAAATGAAACATCGTCGGGAATGTTATCTCGTCCAGCAGTTGTTCTTCGGATGTCCTGCAGACGCCTTAAAATCTACATTACAAGCTGCCGTTGACCGCCTCAGCATTAACTGACCGGCTTTGTCAACCCTAACCTCACTTTTTTCGATTTTGGAGGAAAGAATAGAATAACTCGCTTTAAAATGCATTTCGAGCTGTGTAAATGTATTGGAATTAGGCAGCAGATGATTCGAGAAAGAATTCAAGCATTTAACTGCAAAAACTACCTCAATTCTTGTTTTTATACGGGTCTGTTACGAATCACCCCAAATGATTGTTACGCAAGAAATACGTCCCTAAGTATCACTGGACAAAGTGAAAGCAACTTATGCCACGTGGTTTCATTGTAAAGGGGTCACGCTTCAAGGCCCCAACCCCCATGGGAACATCTGCGTTGTATCTACGTGGTATCCACGTGGATCGAGGTGGATTAGGTGGATGAACTTTTTCCACCTTAAATCCACGTGGATTGACCGTCGATCTGGAGTCGAAACAGGCACGTCGATTAATCCACGTGGAATGATCGTCGATCTTGTGTCGAAACGGGCACGTCGATAAATCCACGTGGAATGATCGTCGATCTTGTGTCGAAACGGGCACGTCGATAAATCCACGTGGAATGATCGTCGATCTTGAGTGGAAACGGGCACGTCGTTGCTTCAACGTTGATTCTACGTCATTTTTTATTAGAATTTTAGGCGCGACATTTCGATGTTTCTACGACGTCGATATTTCGTATCGGGTGCCATTAGAATGCTATCGATGCTGCATCCACGCTGAGTCCTCCTAAGCCTCATTCCTTTGAAAAGCAACGGTCTCGCAGTTCTTCAACAACAGCGCGCCTGTGCGGTAGGCAGTCCCGTTCCACGGCGCTGCCATCGGGTTGCCTACCTGCCGTTTGTCGGGCGTCCGGGACTCCGAGCGGCACCCCCCCCCCTCCCCCCCCTCTCTCTCCCTCCTCCCTCCCCTCATCCACACTGGCTGTGCCCCGAGCTATCCAGGTATCCAGGTCCAGGTGTGCGGGAGGCAAAAGGGATGGCTGGACATCAGCATCACGTTTATGAATCGATCATTGTTTGTGTCCAATGCTTATCAACGAATAAGTTGATGTTGGGTGCAGTACCGGTAATAGTGTCTTCCTTAGGAAGGGACATCTTTGGTCTTGTATGGTAACTGAAGGACAATTCGTCTGCCAAGCACCAATCTAACCTCTTTGGTTTAAAATAAATGCTATCTGCTCACTTGTGGCAACTTAAGTCAGTAAATTTTTTATTACCATTCTGTTGCAGAGAATGAGATTTTTTAAAATTTGGGAATGTTGGAAATTTAAAATAAAAAAAAAGGTTGTTTCTTTTTATTGTATTTGATGATAATATTTTACACAAACAGTTATGTATACATATCAAACGTTAAAAAGGCTTTGGCAAGGCAGACTCAACATGTGAAAATTTAATCAACTCAAAATAATGAGAAGTCAGATCTTAAGTGAATTTTTGAGAAATTCAGTTATCATTTTGACATGATATATGATATGATATGATTTGATATGATACAAATTGAAGCAATTTTACAATTTTTCATGAAGCAAAGGGATGCACAGTCCAGTCATGGTCTCCCAATCCACAATTTTGTCCTCAGTCTCATGTAAAGGGAGAAGCACAACTTTTCTTTTTATACAATCAATACTAAATTTTTCCAGACAACCTAATTGACAAACCTTGAAAAATTTAAGATGCCACTGTCAAAAGGATAGACAAAATAGTTGGATTTGTTTATAAACATTCGACCAATGAAGTATGATTCTGAGTCTGTCTGTACAATGTTACATATGATCAAAAATTTTACCACATGAAGTTAACACACAAGAGTTTGCACCACCGTCACAGTGTATCTTGAAGTTAGGTAGCTCAATCATTCTATACGGGTTTACCTACATTGTCAAGAACAGGGCCTCCTCTATGCTGGGGGTGAGTCTGGTTTTAGTTGCTGCTGCTGTTGGAGCCGAAGAAGAACTTAGAGATTTTTCTATCATTCTACACATTTTTGTTGCAAAGTTCTTCCCGGAGCAAGAAGATAGCTCTTGATCTGACCAAGATTATTTTCATACTTATAGCAACTAAAGCTGTTTGGGTCTCCGTGGAGAAGAATATCATGATACAAGTGGATTAAATGATGAATGTTATACACAACAAAAGAAGCTCCCAAAACATCATAGCTAAAGATACAAAAGTCAGAAGAAATTTTATGACCATCCTCTCCATACTTCGTACGTAGCTCTGGGTCCAGAAAGATTCGCATTGCACAAGCCAAAAGCAGGTAACAATTGTACACTTCTTTATTTTTTTGTTTTTTTAGTATCAAAAATCCATCATATAGAAAAATCCTCCTGAACTCAACTGCTTTGTAGAGACACCACTGAGAAAGCGGCCTTGGCTTCCGAGAAAATTCAGAGGGTACAAAATGGTACAGAAAGCCGGAAAGTGTGTCAAGACTGCCTACGCTTTCTTTGGACAACTTAAATTTGCTCGCCTTCTTCTTCAGAAGTAGTGCTAATAACCTTTTAGTGCATCCAAGATCCACCAAGTGCATTATGTCCAAAGGAAATTGAGAAATCATTGAGATGCCTATAGACAGCAGTGTTGATGTTCCATTGTGGTACTGTGGCTGACTCTGTTCCTCGAAAGATTCGTTTGTTCTTAGAGTTGCCTCACACGTTGGGTCATAAGTAATTCTGCGAAATTTCCACCCCCCTTTGATAGTGCACCTAAAATGAAGAAGATCAAGGACATTCAAAGTTATAAAAAGGCAAAGAAAAGGTTTAAAAAAATGCATCAGTCACAAAATTATTTTTACCTTTCACAACTATAATAGCTCCCATGTTGGTTGACCTTCCGAATCCAGGCTCTGGCTGGAGCATCAGCAATGAAAAAGCGTATCTTCAGTTTAAGGTTTCTGTTTAAAAATGAGAAACCATCTCTCAAAATTTTAAATTCCTCAATGAAGTCATGGAGATACTCATCTACAGACTGGGGATCTTTTGTTGGACCACACCAAATAGCGATCACAAATGGAGTATTCTGACCCACAAGGCATCCAGCGAGTGGCCACAAATGTCTTTTCACACTCTTGAAAGGGCTAATGCCATCTCCAAAGACATCCATCTCAACTTCGTCATTTTCAAGTAAAAAAAAATATTCCTCGTTAGCACTGATGAAAGGCCTTGAAAGATTCCACGATACCAAAATTGCCCACCAGCAACGATTCTGATTCTGCTATCAAGACTCCGTGGAGTTTTAAGGAGTGTTTTCGAGCACAGTGGCAGCGAAGAATGACCATGATCATTAAGGATATGTAATAAGGAGTCCACAGCATTTCTAGGTACTGATTTGTACTGCAATGCCCAGTCAATCAGTTTTGTCTTAAAAAATCTTCTGAGCTGGGCTCTTTTTCCCTCCAGTTATTATTCTCCACACATCCTGTGAGACATCACTTCTATCCAGCTTATAAGTTACTAGTTGGTCAGGAAAATCAGTCTTCTTCAAGTCATCTTCACTCACACCATAGTCAAAATACTCCTCACAATATTCTCCATCACTATCACTTTTGTCATCAGCCAATTGAAACAAATGGTCATTGTTTGGGCGTAAGTCAACGCTACCATTATCAAAAATAGACAACTCAACTTCCGGATCACTAACTTTGTTGAAGTCTTCACTGGGATGAATTAAATCATCATTGGGCGAAAGACAGGAATCTTTGCAGGGAATCGCAAACTGGCTACAATCTTGTGAAGGAACCTGAGGATCGGGATAGCAACGTCGCTTGTAGTTTGCACTCAGATCAGCGAGTAAAGCAGCGTGGTCTTCCTGAAGAATATAATCAATCCCCCTTTCTGCCTTCCTTTTTCGTTTCCTGGATTCTGCCTGGAAACATACAAAAGTAAACAATTAAAATGATATAGAGTTTAAGGGGGCACACCAGTGAAAAGCATAGGTTTCGAAAAACGATCATTCTGAGTAAAGTAACCGATGTATTCGATTGATATTTTATTCTTGGCTCAAAATTATGTAAAAAAAAAGGATAATCAGTAGGGGAGAGCGAGGTGGCGATGGCAAGATGAAGCGCCAGTGCACTTGATTTTTCAACGACCTTGCTTCACTCCTGCCACGATTCCGCCTCTCTGGATTGAGCTTCGCGCACGGGATTTGAAAATATCTCAACAGGACTCATGAGGCTATGGTCTGAACCACGGGCATGCCAAAAGAATGATTTCGAATTTGTTTTTTCAGAGGGCAAAAATAGAAACAAATTTTTTCACCAATTTTTTCGCACTTTCATGGCTGCAGCTCACGTCCTATTTATAGGATGGCCTTTTCCGAGGTTCAGACCATAGACGCAAGTGTAACGAACATTTTGCCGCAAACCGCTTTAAAATTTATTTTAAATTTTTGCGCCCGTGAGAGTGGCACAAAGGTACAAAAAAGGTGTTTTGAGAAAAAGCCCTTTAAGGGGAAAACATAGATTTGACGTTTTTTTTCGGATTATAAATGCGTCTTTTGACGTATTTTAGTTCAGTTTGCGCCAACATATCCCTCTTTTCAACTGCGTTTGGGTGGTTCAAGGGTTTTGTAATTAAAGTTCAAGTAAAAACCCTGAACGTTAACAATTGGTCAAAAATGCAAAAAATTACCTTTTTAGCAACTTCAAAAATGTGCACAAGCCAAAGTAATCGGAATTTCAGGGTGGGGTTTGCGGCCTTCGACTCGGGATGAATAGCAGAAAATAAGATAAAATAAAAGAGAAGGCAAAAATTTGCCGATTTTCACTGGTGTGCCCCCTTAAAGAGCAAACATAATTTCTCAGAGGCAAATAAAAATACATACATCTCGGGACATTTTTGGTGTAGGTTAGTTAAAGATTCAAGTGGTATGGTTGTCAACATTCTATCAAGGGCACTGGTTAAACCTTCAAAGGAACACAAAAGAAAAAAACAATGTATAGGTTATGAACCACTGAGGTCAGAAAGATCTTGTCAAGAAAAGTTGGTCCACATACCAGGCCATCAAAGATACGTCAATGAATAACATTGATTCGATGATGAAGTCTTTCTGTCAGCAAGCTTCAAATCAAAAGTGAATTCTTCCTCGTTTCTTGGATGATCTGAACTGGCGAATCGATCATGTTCTCAAGATAAACAGAGCGCCATCCATAGGCCATCATGAATATAAGTCAGCAAGTAAAATAGGTTGTAAAATCTAAATCACGAAGAGTATCATTAATTCTCCTTTCTGCCTTCCTTTGTAACTGTCTGGATTCTGCCCGGAAATATACAAATGTAAACAAATAAAAATGACTTAGAGTTCCAGCAGCAAGCATGAATTCTCAAAGGTCAATAAAAAACATACATTTTGGGACATCTTTGCAGTAGGTTTGTTAAAGATTCAATAGGTATGTTTTTTTTATCACAAATGTCAACATTCACTTAAGTGGTAAATGTTAAACCTACAAAGGAACACAAAAAAAATGATAATGTGATGGTTATGAACTACTTATGACGAAAAGTTCTCGCCTAGAAAAAGTTGGTTCACATACCGGGTCATCATAGATCCAAGTCAATAAATGAAATTGATTCGACGATAAAGTCTTTACGAAGTATGTCAGCTAGCATTTTTCTTTTCTTGGATGCTCAGAACAGTAGCAGACTTGTCGTGTTCTCACGACGAACGGAGCGCACATCAACCAATCAACCATCACGGATGTAAGTCAGCTAACAAATTTAGTTGTAAAATCAAAATCTTCATAAAATTTAGTTCTGAAACATCGAAACTTCCTTAACCCCTGAATAACAGCTAACAACTGAAAAGTTTTGGCCAGGTCTTGGCCGCTTGCTTGACCAGACCAGATCCGCCATTACTGTTTGGGCCATCCTTCCAACACAAGAAAGTCAAACTCAAATTGTAATAATCTTATCGCATGCAGTAAGGCTTTTCAATTATTTCTGTTTTTTTAAAAAAACGTTATATTACCTTTTTTTAAAAAAAACCTAATTGATTGACTTTGCGCCGTCAACGTTTGTAAACCGATACTGTATGTGAGTGTTGGCGTTGGTGTCTCAAATGACAAACGAGAGTCGGCATCCGGCGTCCCAGAGCCCAGCTGACAAGAAAACGAAAGCCGAAATTCATTGCGAAGTAGAGCTGAATGCGAGCCGGTCAGCTGATAGCGCGCTCTCCTGACGAAATCTTTGATCAAGATGGACTTTGAAGTTCTGGACTACTGCGTCCCTGAGGACAAGTTGGTAAGTAGTGCACTGCGCTTCGTTGGTTTAGGCTGAAGGTTGCCTTTCCTCCTTGCGCGACTTGTACGCAAACATGACAGACTGCTGGTGAGGAACAGGTGGTGCCTGTGGTGCCGTGAGTTTGCTTTCACTTTACTGCGGATTTCATTAGGAAGATGGCGGACTGCGTGTGGAGCATCCGTCTTTTGTGTTCGAATTGTTGATTTTTTAATCTGCTCAAACCCTTGCCATCTTAACCTAACTTTTGGGTTCACTAACATGTGCTTCGGTGAAATCGGTCCCACCCGTCTCAGTATTACTGTTGAGATAGCTTTCTCGCGTGTTGGTTTAGTAATTAGCTCCAACCCTTACTATCTTAACCTAACTTTTGGGTTCGCCAACATGTGCTTGGGTGTAATCGGTCCCACCCTTTTCAGCATTACTGTCGTACAAGCTTTCTCGCGTGTGCGCTATCGTTCATCGGTGCGACTCATTGTGAAGTTTTGGTAATATTGCATGGTTTTTCTGTTTCAGTACTCAGTTATTGAGTTGAATGTGGGTGACTCAGGCAATGAAGAAGTTTATGCTTGTATTGCAAGCTCCACATGGCTAAGTGAAGTTACCAGAAGAATAGGTTGACTTCATCAGATATTTGGTGATGTACAGTGGCCAGAAGATGAGACTGAGCTACCACCTTTCCTGCAGAAGCCTCACATCAAAACCCCCAAGCCACTGGATTACCCATCACAATGTCAGGATCTTAAAAATTTTGCCGTAAGTTTAGTTATAGCTATATTGGCCTTTTCTTTATTTCCCCTATCTAGCTAATTGACTTAAAACTTTTGTAAACCCGATGTTCTCTTTGCAGTTACTCTTGGCCAGGCTAAAGCTGTTGCTGATCAGGCTGTAACCAAGTCTGACTTCACAGAGTCCGATGTTTCTTCCGACAAGAGGAAAAAGAGACGAAGGCAGCCAGTCGATAGATTTACCTACTCCTACAGCGGTGACAGTGACTCAAGTGATGATGATGCTGCTGCTCCTGAGCTGCCTGGTTTGAAAATAACTTCAGGTAACTCGTCATTTTACTGACCTCTAGTGTGCTCCTACAATGCCTTGAATGTAATGTCCCTTTGGTTGTGCAGGCAACAGCAATGGACGTTCATCCACTCAAGGAAAGGTGAAGCCCCAGAATAGGTTTAAAAGGATACGGGAGATGGGGAGTGAATCACCTGGTATGTTGCATATCTGCCCTTTGACTTCTTAAAGTTAAATTAATTTTATTAAGTCTCAGGTTGTTTGTTTTCTATATTTTTTCATATGTTTCAGAACAAAGGACTGACCTCCACGTATTTGGGAAAGAGAAGCCCCAAGATCCTAATTTATCTGCTTTCCTGGCTCGGAACAACTCGATTAACAGCACAATTGGTTCTGATGCTCAAGATACTGTGGGCAACAGTGCTACTAATTCTTCAGTTCGAAAGAATTTAATTTCTGCCTTAACTTCTACTACAAGTAATGCAGTAACTTATTTTATTCTAAATAGCGTATAGTTATTACTTCATTTTATTCATTATTATTTATTTTTTTTAATTTCAGATGTTGGTTTGAATAGAAGTCAGTCACAAGATTTAGCAGACAATCTGACTAAAGACACATCTGGGCACACACATCAGAATAACTTGGTAACTAGTCCAATTGTTCGTAATGCTCAAGATTGTGTGGACAGCAGTGCTACTAATCCTTCAGTTACAAAGAGTGTTATTTCTGCCTCAGCTCCTAATTCAAGTAATGTAGTAACTTATTTTATTATAAATTGATGATAGTTATTACTTCTTTCATTAATTTATATTGGTTTTTAATTTTCTGTTTTTTTGAATAGAAACCAGTCAGATGTAGCGAACAAACTGGCTGTGGATGGATCTGTAAATCGTGATATTAGCTCTCGCTCTTCATCTTTATCTGGCGAACCTCACAGTATGTGCTTTTCTGTGTTTATACATCTTGCTAACATTTTGAAAACCTTCATCTTCACTGATCTTTATTATCTTTATTTCAGCACCTTTAAGTGAGAATCGCAGAGATAAGAACTTGGAGAATTCACCTCCCAGGCCTTCAGAGTCAAGACATGTCAGCCCCCGTTCTCTGAATTCAAGAAGTCGTCCAGTTACAATTTCTCCCCTGAGAAACAGCAACACAGCTTTAGGTAAATATTGTATTTGATTTTCCTGATGCAATTGCTTTTGGTAGCATACCCACTTTGCCTGATGTTAATTGAACTTGTCATTCTCTTAGGTGTGTCAAACCGCTTCTTCTTGCGAGAAATGCAGGAAGTCAAGAGCCGCTGTGACAAGCTTGCTATTATTATTAATAAGATCTACAACTGCGTTTGTCCAGTATTAGAAACTTCACAGGAGAACGACGGGCGAGGTATGCCGAAACTCCCCAATTCCTCATTTGAGGAACTAAGAAAGTGGGAAGAATTTCTTCAAGATCATGATAATAAGTTACATGTAGTAAGTGTTTTCCATCCACTAAATTGGTTGTTTGTTTTGATAGTTCGTTTTAGCTAATCTGTGTTCCTGTTCTTATTCTCCCAGATCCGTCTTTTGTCAGATCGCTGCTCAGCTAACAACCTGAGGGATTCAGTGAACAACATGCTTCGATTTTTTCTATCCAACAAGTTAGCCTGTAGTTTTAACTTAAAAGAAAAGAATAAGGCTGATGCCACGATGACTAAAGTTGCCTTCGAGGGCAGCAGGTCTTGGACTGTTATTCTAGGTAACTAATTTTGCATTCTCTTAACTTCATCCATGTCTTCACTGGGGTAGCTAGCACAAAGTTTGAGTCTGTTGGGACTTCTCAGTAACCTAACTTGCTTTGACATTTTGATCGTTTCAAGTACTAATTTCTTTCGCGGTCTTGCGTTTGCACAAGCTAGCCCACCCATTTCATATGCGTTGTCTTTTACTAGTGGTAAAGGTCTCTAGTTTAAAATAATTCTCTTCTTGTTTCAGCTAGTATGACTGCTTTCAAGAATTCGGTGGCTAAGTCAGGCGGTTCGCTGCACTACTCCATTGCACCAGTTGACGTTGGAAACTCCGTTGGAAGATGGCTGAAAGATGCTCCGAAGAGATATCTGCTCGACTTGAAGTGCGACAAAGCCGTGGGAGCCAGCTGCACTAAAGTTCCACCTGAAATGCTCTTAGTACCTCCAGAAAACTTCAAACTTGTTTAGGATTCCACGTTGTTAAAAATTGAAATGTATTTTGAAATGTATTGTGTAATTGAAATGTATTCCAAACCAAAGATATGGGTAATCTTAATGATCTATGTGTGTGTGCTGTGAATTAGCAATACAAGGTAGGTTTACGCCAGACCGCGTCTTGTCGTAACAGGCTTCGCGATGTCTCGCTGCCTTTTCCTCCAATCCGCACCTGGCGTACCTACCTTGGCCTGCGGCGCTAGCCTGCCCTTTGGCAGGCAAATGGCTTGCCCCTCGTCGGTTTCTTTACCCTGATGGATGCTGGGGGCGGAGCCCCCCCGACCCCCCCACTTTAAGACAGAAGTGATCTGCCTGCAGAAAACTCGATTTTTTGCCGTTTTAAAGGGGTTTTTCGGCTATAAAAACTGAACCAGTTGAGCTAGGATGGTGAAATTTCGCGTGTGTCGAGCCAAGGACATACCTAATAAGCCTGCAAAATCTCAGCCAGATCGGCCGAGCCGTTCAGGAGGAGTAGTGTACACACACAGACAGACACACACACAGACAGACAGGAAAAATTTTTCAACCCCACTGGAGTAACAGGCTTCGCTATCGCTCAGCCAAAAAGTATCTTCTTTTAATAAGTAGTGTAAAATTTTTTTCACTTCCTATGAAAGCCGATCTGGACGAGGGAAAGGAAGAGGGGGGGGGGGGGGGGGGGGGGGTAATCCACCCCGAATCCACGTGGGGAGCTACCTGTGGAGGGCTGTGAAGTCAACGTGGATGGAATGTGGACAGGAGAGCTTGCTACCTCTACGTTTAGTCCACGTAGATCGCGCGTGGAACGGGCGAGTTCCCTCATCCACGCCGCCTCGCGCGTCACTTAAGGCTCGATGTCGAGTCGATGATGCACATCGATTCGACGTTGGCGGTCAACATCCCCTCTACGTCGCATCCACGTTCATGTTCCCATGGGGACGGTACTTCGATGCTGATTCATATCTGGGGAGCCTCAGACTGCAACTTCCTAGAACTCAAAATAAAAGATTTGCCTGTTTTCGGTGTACCCTATATTTCAGACGCCCTCCAAAACTATACCTGAGCACCGATCATATCCGCTTCGATTGTTGAAGGACCCTGTACTTGAAGCGAAAGAGGGGCCATACTCAGATTTTCCTCTGCTCCCTCCACTTAAATTAAAAAACGCATTTGTTACGAATCGCCCCTGTTACAAATCGCCCCATACTCCCTTAATGCTACGCTTTAGTTTTACCAGTGCAGATTCCCCCTATCTGAATGCATGGGGAAATTTCCAGAGTATGCTTCATTTCAAGCACACCGTCTTCAAGCGTAACTTTATGATTCACTCAACCATAGAGTTACGCATTCGTTTTACCAGTGTTCACCTCCCATTCTTTTACATCCTGTGTGAATCTGTGCCAAATTGTACAAGACATCACAGTTTTTAGTGCAGATGAACTTTTTGTACAAATTTTCTCGCAACTTTGTTCTTAATCGGAGAAATTTGTGCAGTTTGTCGAACAAAATTGGTACGCAGAGTTCAGCTGCATTAACAACTGTAACGTCTCGTTTAAAATTGTATGTAACATTTGGTGCGTACCTTGCTTAATTGCGTGGTTAGGGATCGTCCATTGATAAGTTGCGCAGTTCTGGACAGTCCACCCTCGGTCGGTCCGCTTATGTGACGTGGCGTTACGCTGGCTCACTGGCTCAGACCCCTCACCCCTTCGCACGCCGTATGGTTATTCTAAAGTTTTTGACTGAACGCGGTTTTAACCTCAATTTGTCTTGTTTGTTTTGAATCGTCGCATTCAATGTGTTGATCCTTACGTTACGCCGGGTGTGTTGTCAAGGCATTGGAGAATGGTTTCCTATCATGAGGAAATGCTTTCCGAAGGACTTTGCTTCGTAGTACGAAGCAATTCTTCGCTGAGTTTCCGACGCCTTCGTTTGCTTCGTATTATGAAACGATGCTTTGTAGACTTTTCGCTGTGCGGAGCGTAGTTTTTTACCGCTAATTTTTAGGACCTGTGTAAAGAGGTCGGCCCATGTGTCCATAGAGGGGGAAAGAAAGGTACTAGGCGGACTTACGGGACTGTTCAGGGTACGCCGGCGTGGCCAAGGACGACAGGCAGTACGAGTACGCAGAAAATCAAGTTAGCTGAACCTGCTAATCTAAGAGAGACTTAGCACAAGAAACTAATATCCTTAGCTTCAGAGAGCTACAGAGTGCACTCTGGCAGCGAAAGCTAACAGAAGTTAGAAATACTTGACAAAAATCTTAGCACAGTGGTTAAGCGGTTTATTCTCCTACTGTGGAAAGGGCGTTCCCCTTGATTCCGTAATTCGATTGTTCTGGAAATGTTTCAAAAACGTCCCTTTTTTTCTCTTGTCCTAGGATAGGCCCAATTTCCCCTTCGACTTTTAAGGTCTTTCTGTGCTGCTGCCTTACAGGTGGCGTTCAAGTCTTAGGTCAGACATCCGCGCCGTTTCAGGTGGCATAGGAAGGTTGAGGGGAGACCCAATACCAAAATTGAAATCAAGTCGGTCATTCATGACTTAGCAGCGGCACGTCGCTAAAGTGACCCATGGGTCGATTCGTGACCCACGATTGATTTTTCACCTAAGCAAGTATGCGTGGCATGATTACGCAATGTAACCTCATACATTGTGTCCCTTAACGACCTGTGACGCATGCTACGTACACACATGAGATTTCAGAGTCAATAGGCGGTGTTAGGCAAGTCAATCTTGCTGCCACTTCTATCTTACTAACTGCCATTTTCATAAGGGATTTCCCCCTTGCAGTTACCCAATGATTTTGTGTTCTTGGTGGAATCTTTTTTTTTACGAAACTTAATTCTATCCATTCAATGACAGTTTCTTTTATGTACTTATTCTTCTACTCTTGTTTACAGAAATCGGAAAAGCAGAGTAAAATGGAGGAATTGGGCTGCGAAAAAGCATGGTAAGTGCGCTCTCCTCAACATCGATATCAGATCGTAGCAAGCTATAGAAGTTGTCCTCAAATTATTGAGTACGCTTTAAACGATGTTATTCGCTATTAAAATATACCACAAATTGGCTGTGTATTTGCGACTAAAGTCGTAACACTTATGTTACGTTATGGATGACAATTTTGCCATGTATTAGCACCGAACTGCATCGGATATTAACATTTTAGGATAGAACGTAAATATATTTACGATCTATCCCGTTCAAAAGACCTAATTTGTCACACGCGTCTTGAGTCGCCCGGGTGGACAGAAGTTTAGTTTTGACTTAGTTTAGACTGTAGTCGCAGACTGTAGTGCCCGAACTGCAATTCTGAAAGCAGTCAAAATAGAGAAAAAAACCGAAGATAATATTTAGATGTCGGATCGCAGTCCGGAACATAGTTACGAATGCAGTCTGGATGCACTATCCAAGTAGTTTCGTTTATAGTCCTTACAAGACTTCAAACGACGCCTCAATTTTAATTAGGTTAAACTTGCCTCTGTCTGCTGGCAATTTTTTTTTGCCGAAGGATCCGTTGTTAATTGCAGACCTTTCAATAACGAAGGTTCTTTGTAAAGTCCCGAAAGTCCTTTGTTTTCTAACGAAGGTTCCCTGTCAATTTACGACGGATCTTCGTAGAATTATGAAGGTGCTTCGTAAATTTACATTGTGCTTGTATAATAGACAGAGGTCCTTCAAAAAATTTACGAAGGTTTTTGTTCATATACGAAGGCCTTCGTAAATGAACAAAGGAACTGTTGGCATTTTTTCCGAAGGATCCGTTGTTCATTCCGAACATTAATTTTGACAGTGTAGTTGTGAGTTAAAAATTATATCGATTTGGCTACAGTTACATCTAGAGGTTCCTAATTGAGTCGCAACTGCGCTCTTCTCTGCATTGACTTTTGCACATACCCAGTATACTTGTGAGGTGCTTTTTAATATGGCTTTGGCATTGCACTGTTATTCAAACTGCGATAACCACTGTCTATATTTTGCAATAAAAACTTATCACATTTTTTGCTATGACAACTAAATATCTGCAACAAAAAAATTTGTAGCAAAATTTTGCAGTAAAGTATCACATTTTTGCGATAATGACTACAAAGAAAATGTAATAAAAAGTTATCGCAGAAAAAAATGTGATAAAAGTTACGACAAAACGCTCTATTATCGCTTAAATGATGGGGTGGTTATTGCAAAAAAGTGCAATAACGAAGTGATCGCACTCCAGGATGCGATAAATCGTGGGAATCGCAAACTCGGTTTTATCGCCAAAATTTGTAGTAAAAGTATCGCTAAATGAATGACAGTGTGCACGTATGGTGCAATATCTCAATGCATTGCACCACACGTGCTATACTCATAGCGTTTGGAATCTCAGTGTATGCGCAGAAAACTTCATAGTATTTTATTTTGTTGTCAGACTTCTAGACTTGGCGGTGGGCTGCTTTCAGGTGGGACAAACTGCGGCGGCCCTATTTGAAGAACCTGGAGACGGTGCTGATCGACGTCCAGGCGGGGCGAGACGTGCGCGAGAGAGACCTGCGCCGGGCCCTGTTCCTCCTTCTCCGTGACCACCGGTTTGTGCCCGGGATGCCCATCCTCACCGGTTTGACTAGTGACGAGAGTGTCGCGAAGCTGGAACAAAGTTTGTGCGAAGCTTCGAGCGCCGTCGCCGCTCTGCGTTTGCCGCGGAGAGTCGACGGCAAGATTGAGACGAGCACTCTGTTTCTCCTGTTCTACCGCGGCATGGTTGCGAATCTCAAGGCAGCGGAGGCAGGCCGCTCCAGCGTGCCCTTCGACCCTTGGGCGTGGCTGGAGCTGCTGCAGCAGTACGCGGCGCGGCTGGAGGAAAAGCTGGATCACTTGTTGGAGACGTGCAATGCAGGCCCGCGCAGGGGCGGGCGCCACCCGGAGCAGGGCGTGGACGACGAGTGCCTCATCCTGGCCACGCTCTCGGCGCTCGCCCTGCGGGCCGTCAAGACCAGCTTCAGGAGCACCTACGTCCAGATTCCGTGGGAAGAGGTGGAGTTCGTCCTCGTCTCCTTCATCGAGGCGCACACCGTGTACGAGTCGTGGGCCTTCGTGTTCGCCACGGTCAGCACTGTGCTCCGCTACCTGCGGGACTTCCGGGCGCACCTGGCCGTGCTCAAGACGCAGCATTCCGGACGGAAGATGGCGAAGTTGTCGAGGGCGCCGACGGTGAGCAGGCCCGCCTTCCTCGCTGGCTTGAATGCCTCCGACGACGAGGGGGACCGGCGCAAGGCTGCCATGTTCCGCGACTGCGCTGTGGTCCGAGACTACGAGTCGCTGAAGACCATCAAGGAGGCCCTTGGCGTCGCGATGGGCGCCCTGGGGATGACGGAGGCGGACTACCGCCAGCGCGGCTGCCTCGCCTTCCACCGGGCACTGTTTGTCGTCGGCGAGCGGATGAAGAACTCCTGGGAGTCTCCCAACCTGTCGGCCCGCTACGGCAAGCTGATCGAGACCATGGCCTCGGAGAACCTGGTGGCCACCATGACGAGGATCCGCAACGGCCTGGCCCACCCGGCCGGGGCCGCCGAGAGCAGCGCTGCTGTGAAGCTCGCCACCAAGGAAGTGAAGAGGAGGATGGCGACCGATCTGCTCAATATCTGGGAAACAGTCGGGGCCCTTCTTCACGACGCCGAGTGGGACCTTCTTAAAGGCTTCTGGGAGTACAGCGCCCCTCACTGTGATTTGATCCGGGCACTGACGTGCACGCTCAAGTACAAGGCTCGTGGAATCAACCCGATCCAAGCGGAGTTGTCCCGGCTCCTTGACGCCATCTCCCGTCGCAACCCCACGGTCGCCAAAACAGTCTTCCAGCCCTTTAAAGAGTCAAAAGAACACAGCAAAGGGTTAAACCGGCAAAGATTCCTCCATGGTCTTGGAGGCAGAACACTGTTAAGCTCACTCTTGACATCTCACACATCGGGTGGAAAGCAGGCAGAGCTGTGTAAACTTATCTCCACCGTGCCCTTCAGCGAAGATGTGGCGAAGTTCGCCAGGCTGTGGCGCCTGTCCCAAAGTGGCGAAGAAATTGCCACCTTCCAAAGCTCGCTGGCTGATGGCGCTGCGAAGAAGCCATCCAGTGAAGACGTGGCCCTTGCAATGGCCGCCATTCAAGCTCTGCCCGACCAGCACGACATGGTCGCGCGGTACACTCTCGAGGGCGCCGTGCGGATCCTGGCGTCGGCGTGGCACGAGTCTCAAGAGCGGCGGCAGCCCTTGGCCACCCTGTTCGCGCCGTGCCTCTTCGGGCGCCACCTCCGGAACTACCTCAACCACGGCGACAAGTTCCTGCAGGTGTGCTTCGACCCGGACTCCGAGATCAAGGGCATCTGGATCATGCTGACCTCCGAGGTGGACGACCGCACCCCCACCCTTGAGGCGCTGCGCGGCGCGCAACCGCGCCCCGTGCCGCTGGACGAGGCCAAGTCGGAGCACGACCGGCTGCTGCGGCTGGTGCAGCTCAAGTGCGGCATGTTCCAGTGCGCGCGCGCCGGGGACGTGGCCGGCGTGGCGCGGGCCGCGGAGGGCGGCGCCGACCTGGCAAGCCGGGACGCCCAGGGCCGCACGCTGCTGCACGCCGCGGCCGCGGCCGGACAGGTGGCCGTGGTGCGCTGGCTGCTGGCAGTGGGCCCGCAGGCCGTGCAGCCCCGCGCCGGGGACTGGCTGGGCAGGACGGCGCTCCACGAGGCCAGCACTGCCACCGTCGCCGAGGCGCTGCTGCAGGCGGGACTCCCAGGTGCGTGCTTTTTAAGAGGCGGCCGTTTCTCTCGACTTCCTAAAATTTTGGCGTGTATACGTTATACGTTCTAGATGTCAGGACGGTTTTTGTCCCACGTGTAGCACGTTTAAATTTTTCACCAAATCTCAGCATGTTTTTAGGCCTAGGCTTCAAATGGGGTTGCTCACACGGACTCTGGTGGTAGGAAAAATCGTCTCTAGTGTGAGTGAAAGCAATCCAGCCCGCCACCCCGAACTCAAGAGGGCAAATCAAAAGGAAAGAAACTAATTTTCGCTGCTTTTAGATATAAGACGTCGGGTAGGGTGATATAGATGCAGTCTGATCGCAAAACGAATCTGAATTCGGCACTAAGTAAAGAACAAATAAAGAACTTTTTAGACCTACCGGCAAGCCGAAATCGAAAGTCGCCTGCACTGCAAAAAATCAGTGTCTGATACGGAGCATGCTACGGCGTTCCGTATACCCCCTGAAATGGTGATACGGACATCTTCCGTACCACTCCTCCCATAAGAGCCTGTGCTTTGTAAAGCGTGGTACGGAAATTTAACGGAAAATGTACCGCTAATTTTACACCGGAGGTTGCCGTTTCGGTTTTCCGTTTGTGAAAAAGTCCAAAATGCTCTACGGACAGTGAGGAACGAACGCACCGTAACGCTAAGTTCTCTGACGAAACGCATGGAACGGTCACTCCGTAGGGATACGGACTGGCCGTTACACTTTATCCGTTACAGAAATTTGAGTTACGGAGCGTCCGTTCCTCACTGTCCGTAGAGCATTTTGGACTTTTTCACAAACGGAAAACCGAAACGGCAACCTCCGGTGTAAAATTAGCGGTACATTTTCCGTTAAATTTCCGTACTACGCTTTACAAAGCACAGGCTCTTATGGGAGGAGTGGTACGGCAGATGTCCGTATCACCATTTGAGAGGCTATACGGAACGCCGTAGCATGCTCCGTGTCTGACACTGATTTTTTGCAGTGTGAGTATAACGCCCCCCAGTGTACAGACGATGGCAGTTTATGTTAAAAGAACTTTTCCCATCGATGTTGCAGCGGAGGCGCTGGACAGCAGATTCCAGACCCCGCTGAGCAGGGCGGCGATCGCCGGGCGAGCCGAGGTGGTCCGCCTGCTGGTGGGCCATCCGTGGCGCGCGGACCACTCGGCCCTCGACTTGCACAGCCGCAAGCCGATGCACTGGGCGGCCTGGCACGGCCACGTGGAGGTGCTGCAGGTGCTGCTGGAGGCGGGCGCCACGTGCGAGGCCGTGGGCGGGGACGCAGTGACCCCCCTGAGGCTGGCTGCGCGGGGCGGCCACGCCGACGCCGTGAGATTCCTCCTCGGCCCTCGCGCGCGCCCGCGGCCCTCGGACCAGGAGTGTCTGGACGCCATCGGGGCGGCCGCCATCTCCGGACACGCAGTCGCATTCCACGTGAGTGAACTTCTTGGTTCCAGATGACGCGCTTAATGCGTAGGTACACGGCAAAAGTACCGCCTGGGATTCCCAGGCGCATCATGGGGAAAAGGGCCTATTTTCCAGGCACCGCCTGGGAATCCCAGGCGGTACTTTTGCCGTGTACCAGTTTGTTCGCGGTGTTGCACTTGCGTGAAATTGTGCTCGAATGCGCTTTATTTCTTGCATCTTTACGCTTTACTTTTTCGCATTAAATTACTGCGTTGTTTTTTAGGTCAAGCGTAAAGCTTGAACTACTACTCGCTAAACACTGTGAGAAAAAACTACAGAGAAGCCTGTTAATTTTTTCACAGCGTCGCTCTGTACCTAAAACTACAGTGATCTCTGCCTTTTAAAAGACGGAGCTCACTGTTGTTTTTTGTGTTCATCTCTCTGTTGTCCGAGCGGCCAATGCCACATCGGGACGGCATGGCCAAATCCTCATAGGTCACCGTTGGGTCCACGAGGACGTCGACGGGCACCTCACAGGGTCCCCGATGACGATGCGAGCATTTTAGACCTAGGTTCCGACCATTCATTGAAAAGGTCTCGTCAAGATCTACTCGAATCAAGAATAAAAAAAATTCTTGGTCAACCCCCTTTTTTTTCAAGATCCAGTTGACCAATCAGGATCTTGATAAAAGGAGGTTGACCAAGAAAATTCTTTTATTCTTGATCCGAATAGATCTTGACGAGACCTTTTCAATGAATGGTCGGAACCTAGCTCTAAAATGCTCGCATCGTCATCGGGGACCCTGTGAGGTGCCCGTCGACGTCCTCGGGGACCCAACGGTGACCTATGAGGCTTTGGCCATGCCGTCCCGATGTGGCATTGGCCGCTCGGACAACAGAGAGATGAACACAAAAAACAACGGTGAGCTCCGTCTTTTAAAAGACAGAGATCACTGTAGTTTTAGGTACAGAGCGACGCTGTGAAAAAATTAACAGGATTCTCTGTAGTTTTTTCTCGCAGTGAATGTGTAAGATTTAAGTGCGCGAAGCGCGCACTTATTGGTTCACTTGTAGGTTGTCAGATTAAGGGGTGTCACTCGTTTAACACGTTGACTGCGACGGGGTCTTGGACCAGTGATTCCCGTGTGGCGAGGCCGATTTTCAAAATTTGAAGGGTGGGACCACTCACGTGGCCCCGTCGCCACTGCGGGATTTTCTGTATTTATCTCGCGGGGCCACAGGCGTGGCCCCACCGTATCTTGGCCATTTCTGGTCCGATTTCGCTCGGAGTGGGCTCAAACGATTCGTACGGACCAGGCCAACGTCCTCCACGCCATGAAGTACGAGTCCGTGGCCCCGCGGGGCCACACGCGTGGCCCCACCATATCTTGACCATTTCTGGTCCGATTTTGCTCGGAGTGGGCTCAAACGATTCGCACGGACTATGCCATCCACGCCATGTACACTAAGTCCGTGGCCCCGCGGGGCCACACGTGTGGCCCCACCGTATCTCGGCCATTTCGTGTCCCAGACCCAGGTTGCGACCACTCGTTGAAAAGGTCTTGTCATTTTGAACTCGAATCAACCATAAAAAAAATTTCTTGGACGACCCCCTTTTTTCCAGTATATCGATCAAAAAACTGTATACTGGGAAAAGGGGGGTCGTCCAAGAAATTTTTTTATGGTTGATTCGAGTTCAAAATGACAAGACCTTTTCAACGAGTGGTCGCAACCTGGGTCTGCGACACGAAATGGCCGAGATACGGTGGGGCCACGCGTGTGGCCCCGCGGGGCCACGGACTCGTAATTCGTGGCGTGGAGGACGTTGGCCTGGTCCGCACGAATCGTTTGAGCCCACTCCGAGCGAAATCGGACCAGAAATGGCCGAGATACGGTGGGGCCACAGGTGAACTTTCCTACGGGGCGGTGGGGCCACGCGTGTGGCCCCACTTTGCACCCGATCCAGCCGCGACGCGAGAGTGTTGTCGGTGAGGGTCTTGTGGTCCCAGGCGAGAAAGGTGGTGGTCCCAATGACCAAACATGACCCGCAATGGCTTTAGGACTGGTGGGACCACGCATGTGGACCCGTCGCCATTGTGGAATAAGTGGTGGGGCCACTCATGTGGCCCCGTCGCAGTCAACGTGTTAAATGTAAGAATTCATAGTTATTAGGAGGTGTCGAGCTCAGTCGCTTATTACGTTGCCCTCTTGTTTCTCCAGGTGCTGCTGGAAGAAGTGAGGCGGCGGACGCCTGCCCGCCGCTGGGCCGCCGCGGTGCGGGAGTTCCATTCGGAGGTGTTCGAAGGCGGCGACTCCGACGTCATCAACGTGTTCCTGCGGGAGTGTCCCTTGGACCTGGGCCCGTTGCGGGAGCGTCAGGACAAACTGAGCCTGCTTGAACTGGCGGCCATGGTGGGCGCGGAGCACAGCGTGAACGCCCTGCTTGCTAGACGGGCTGAACCGACGGCTCGGAGGAACCCTCTGGCCATGACGGCCCTGCACCTTGCCGTCTACGGCGGCTCCCTGGACGTCGTGCGCGCCATCCTGGGGCGCATCCCCAAGGGCCACTCGCTGCGCACTGGGCGCGGGGAGCTCATGTCCCCATTAGGTTTGGCGCTCCGTGTGAACCGCTTGGATGTGGTGCGACTGCTAGTCCAAGAAGGGGCGGACGTCAACGCTCAGCCGTCTAAGGGAATCCCGGTGAATCCGCTGCTTCAGGCCGCTTTGTTCGGCAACGCAGAGGCCGTCGGCTTCCTGCTAGAGCGCGGCGCGCGGTGGCCGCGGACCGCTGTCGCGTGGACTCCACTCCACGCTGCGGCACTCAACGGCTACCTCGGCATCGTCAAGGTACGCATACACTAGCCATATAGATTTCCGTGTCCTAACTATTAGTGTCTATAGAGCTATTTAACTGCACATGGTGTGAAAAGCGGTCTTTTCTCAAAGTAAGGATTGTCTTGGATCTGCTCTTGCACCTAGGATTATTCTACTAGGATGCGTCGAAATTGTCCATGCGTTTTCAAATGCATGAATTTGTGTAGAAGGCGTAAAAACTACGGACTTTAAGGCGTGACCATTCTTATACGCCCTGAAAGGACGTAGATCGTTTAATGCCATCTGGAGCAGACTTTTAAGCAAAATTTTAATGCCCTTTCAAATGCCTACGATTCACTCCGTTCCAGGGGTAAATCCTGTACGCCCTTAAAGGGAATAATATTCATGCCTTTGTCTCACCAGTGAATACATTAAAAACAAGCTATGTCGCAATTTAGTGTGCAGGCACTTGGTGATAATGGCTCTTTTGACACCAGTAGTGCATATATGTATGACTATAAAATTCGCGGGACTCAGACATATGCTTGGTTGGGTGTGCCTTCCCACACCAAATTACTGTAACTCTCTTCGTAAGTAGCATTCGCACAAAATTGAGCGTACGCGTGAAACGCATGAATTCGTGCGCGATAACACACACTTGCCTGTTTAGTCGAGCACAAATTCGTGCATTTTTAGACGTATGATCAAGTTTGTGTAAAGCTAACACCTAACCGTTTACTAAGTACACACTTTCAAATGCATGCTTGGCCAAGTACACACTTACAAATGCATGCTTGGCCACGTACACACTTACAAATTCATGCTTGCATGTACACACTTACAAACGCATGCTTGACGCCGTATAACTCCATGCGTCAAGCATGCGTTTGTAAGTGTGTACTTGCAACGAGGGGTCCACCACTCCGAATTTTTGCGTACACATGATTCCGGATTCCCGAGATTCCTGGGATTCCCAGGATTCCCAGGAGATTCCCGAGACTCCCATGATTCCCACATGATTGCTACGAATCCTGCGATTCCCAAGTAGGGTCAGTTGGGGTAATAATGGGACAGTTTGAATAATAAGGTTTCCACAACTCAACAATGGCGAGTTGGAGTGTTTCTAATGCTTTTAAAGGATAGGCTACTCTGTTCCACACCATTTGGCGTTAAAATAAGATCAAAAAGTCATTGAATTTTGCAGTTGTGTAAAATAAACTGTGAAAATTCGGACTTGTAAGTTTGGGGTAATAATGGGACACGCTGGGGTAAAAATGGGACAAGGGCTTAGCAGAGGTAAAACAGGCCTCAAAGTTTTCCAAATAGACACCACTTTATAAAATTCGATCCGTCTCAACACGAGGAACAATAAATGTCATCACATGCCACCGGTTCGGATGAAAAATGAAGAGGCATTGCGCTTCCAAAGAACTTGGGTGCAATTTGACCTTTTGCGACTATTTGTTAATTTCAAAGCCCATTAACTTTTTAAATATCCGTCCAAACCCATAGCATGTGTTGACATTTTTTGTTTGTATTGTCGAGGCCTATCTATTTCCGTTCAGAGATGTCAATTCAAACAACTTTGAAAATTTTCTCCCCAAAGGCCACAATTTACCATTAACCAAGTGTCCCATTTTTACCCCAGGAGTGTCCCATTTTTACCCAAAGTGGTGTCCCATTTTTACCCCACAGGAAAATTCTACAATTGCAAGTTAACGAATGCATTGATGTCAAAATGAGTTGGTGGATCGAAATCCTCGTTCTTTTAGCTTTCCAACACACTATTATACTTAACTTTTCTGTTTATGGGGAGTTCTGTAGTGTTCTAATTAGATGACCTCTGCGGCAAATTTTTCCAACCTTTAGAAAACCCATAATTGCCATGTTTTGCTTGATTTCTTAATTCTCATTTCTATGAGCAGTCATTGTCCCGCCGAATGAAAAATGGAATACTAGACACCTCAAAGAACATTTTCAGCACAACTATGTCATTGTAGGACGTTTTAAAATGCCAAAACTCGTCAAGTTTAGAAAGTGTCCCATTTTTCCCCAAGTTTCCAGTGTCCCATTATTACCCCAACTGACCCTAATTCCCATGATTTTGGAGTGATTCTCAAGATTTCCGAATGAATCTCGCGATTTCCGAGTGATTCCCGCGATTCTTGCGTGATTCCCGAGCATGGTAAATATTTTGTTCAAAGCAAAAACAGACCCAAAAATCTGACTTCAGCCTGAAGGATACCTGTCAGAGGCGCAACTGGCGGTTTTTCACACGATTTTCACGTCACTATCTTGATTCCCATTCCTATGATTCCCAAGATTCCCATGATTTGCAGAAGATTCGCATGAATTTCAGATTCCTCATGATTCCGAAGAGATTTCTATGCGATTGCTACGATTTTTTGATGATTCCTGCGATTCCCGCAAGATTCCCGTGATTCGGAAGTGATTCTCGTGATTCCCATGATTCCCGTAAGATTACTGAGATTCCCATGATTCCCGGACGATTTCCGGATGACTCCCGGACACGATGTACACATGATTCCCCGAGTGGTGGACCCCTCGACTTGCAAGCATGCATTTGTTTAGTGTGTACTTGCAAGCATGCATTTGTAAGTGTGTACTTAGTAGACAGTTAGGTTTGTAGTGAATGTACGAAGTTTATTGTGTATGTCGGCTTCATCGATGTGCATGCCCACTGTCCGCACAGCTGCTGGTGCCGGCGGAGCTGCCCAAGGACGCCGCCGAGGTCCGGCAGTCCCTGTCGCTGGTGCAGTGCGCCGACGAGTCGGGCTGGACGGCCCTGCTGTGCGCGCTGTGGTGCGGCTCGCCGGCCGTGGTCAAGTACCTCCTGCGGCGCGAGGGAGAGCTGCTGCAGCGTGCCGGGGCGACTCGTGGCAGGCACTGCAGCGCCCTGCAGCGCGACAAGCGCGGCCGCTCCGTGCTGCACCTGTGCGCCGTGTGGGGCTGCGCCCCCAACCTCGTGGAGGCCGTCCTCCACTTCCTCAAGGAGCACGGGCCGGCCGCCGGGATGGGCGCCGACGACCTGCTCGCCACGGTCAAGGCCGTGCGGGCCATGAGCATCCAGGACGGCCGGGACGACGGCCAGATGGTTCATCTCCTCGACAAGTGGATCTCCATCCTGGACCCGCAGTCATCCGGTGAGTTGTCGGCTGGGTGCTCAATCTACACTACTGAAACCTGTGGAGTCATTTGAGCATGTGTAGAGTACAAACTTCTGTTTGTTGTAGGTAGAATTACTTCACAATTCCCAAGAAATTTCTTTGCAAAGCTTATGTATGCAGAAAACACTTTGTTGTAGCACGCTACTCTCCTTAACGCCTAATAACGCGCACTAACCTCAATAAGTCACTAAACAAAAACCGAATTTGAGTGTGTTGTTTCGGTTTTTACCTCGATGTAAAGCACATCGTGAAACCCTCGGAGAAACTTTTTAACGCTTTTCAACCGCATTTTATTCACTCACGCTGTTGAAGTTGATTTATCCGACCGGCTTTTGCAATTGATTTGCCAGTGGACACTACCAAACCGAACTGTTCTTTTGTTTTCTAGAGAAGTGTGATTGGGGGATTTGGGCTTGAAGGTAAATTGTCCTCTTCCTTTCTTTCAGTGACGAGTGCGGTTGGGCCGTTGGAGTCACTCGACTCTGCTCCACCCAAGGCCCCCAAGAAGAAAGGGAAAAGGAAGGCCAAAGGCATTGACGAGAATTTCGCTGTTTCTGAAGGGGAAGGCCTAAAGAAGAGTGCTGAAGAAAACCTCCAAACGCCCTCTCCAAGCCCAGCAGGTCCTGTCAGCGAAGATGGTCTTGTGGTTGACCGCGTCACTGATGCTGAAAAGGTCGACCACTCACTAGAACTGCAATCTGGTGAGTTATCGACTGGGTAGTGGCAGTTCCGTAGTGCTGTCGTGAGGAGGTTTTCAGTTCATCAGGAACGTGTTTAAACTTGATGTTTGGTGGTTCAAATATGAAAACCAGACTCTTTTCAATTCGTCAGCAGGGCTCTTCGCCAAAGGTTAAGGGTGCGGACTTTCTTCCCAACTAACTCCTCACAAATTCAAGAAACAAGAAAAATTACTTATCCTTTCCAAAAGAAGTGAGAAGTTACGGGTTATAACTTTAACTCTTAGGATAACCTTCCTGGTAAAAACGGTTTCTGGTTTTCCCAGGCACTCTCTGGAAATCGCCCATGTCTTTACCAGCTTCCTGGGAAAACCGGGAAACATTTTTACCGTGTTATGATGTCCTTCTGAGGCAAGTTCAGGATCCCTGTTCGTCACACCGGTTTGTGCGTCGGTTTTGTTTTTATTATTTTGACGCAGCAGCACATGGTGAACCTTCTCTTTGCTCTCGAATTTCAATTTTTAAAGCAGACGATGTTCGAACAATCAGTTAGCTGCCAGTCATATTTCTCGCATCATGATATGGGTGCTTTCCTTTTAGTTAGTGGCCACTTTCACTTCAAAACTGTTAACAGCACGTTCCCTGTATCCCATGAGTATTTAGAATTTGAAGGTAAACCGCCCGCTCGGTTCTTTCAGTGGCGGGTGTAATTGCAACCATTGAGTCGCTCGACACAGCATCACCCAAGGAACTGCAGAAAGGAATGCAGAAGAAGACTAAGAGGATTGACCGGAACTCCGTGGTCCCTGATGGGTCAGGTCCACTAGGAAGTGCTCAAGAATACCACCAGACTCCCTCGGAAAATCCAGCATGCCCAGTCAGCAAGGACAATCTTGTGGTTGACAACGTCGGCTGCAGACTTGAACAGCACTATGGTGAGTTTTCTGCCGTGAATCCATCTCCTGGGATTTTCGGAAACATCGGTCAATCCCTTAGAAATGTCGGCCTGTTCCACGGACGGCCTGCTAAGCCTTGAGGAGATGGTTTACCGTGTTCTGGGTTGTGAAAGTTCCTTTCATGGCTTTGGTAAGGAGGTCTGCACGCCTTTTAAGCGTCGGAATTAGTTCAAATATTTAACAGGGACTCGTTTCATTACGTCAAGTCGCGTAGTACGTCGGCAGGGGGTGGCAACGGCCTAGGGAGAACGTGAAGCGATGCTCGCGCCGTCAGTGCAGAGGTTGCGCACTTGTTCGAGATTATGAAAACTAGACTGTGCTTTTCAAAACACTTTGCACCGATAGAAAGGGCTTGAAATTTAGGGTGCATTAGGCTAATTACCCTTCTCGAAACTCCTCCCTTACCTAATATTAAGGTGCAGTAAAAACACCAAAAAACGCAAAAATCATAAAATTAGGAAAAAAACTCGAATGCGCCATGTTGATGTAAATGATTTCGCCCTTGTGTTCGGTTGAATTGGAAGTATCGGGCAGGCTACTAGGCCTAATGCGCCCCAAATTTTGTGCTCTTTCGATTTGTGCAAAGCGTTTTGCAATCAACGGTCTAGATGTTACGATCGAAGCAAAATAAGTAACCCCTGCACTTTACTCGCGCATGGCTTCACGCGCCTCCTAGGCCGTTGCCGCCCCCTGACGTCGGTTTATATTTTGACCAAGCAGCACGGTGAAAAACTTTCTTTGCTCTCAAACCGTGTTTAAATTTCTCAAGCAGATAATGTTCGAAGAATTAATTAGCTTCGAATCACGCTTCTCGGATTTAATAATTAGTCGATGCACAATGTTTGTGATCACTTTCAAGCCCATAGTTTGGAATTTAGGATGAACTCTCCTTTTTCGTTCCTTCCAGTGGCGGGTGGAGTTGCGCCGTTGGAGTCGCCCAAGCAACCTAAGAAGGAAAGGAAGCAGTCCAGCTCGGTACCAGACGGCGGATCCTTCCGCAACGATACTGACGGAAACGACCAGAAAAGCTCCGGAAATTCTACAGCTTTCTCTAACGAATGTTCACTCATGGTTGGACATGTCGCTGAAGTTGAGAAGGTCGACTTGAAACCAGAACAGCAGTCTGGTAAGTGTTCTACCTTGAGCCTCGTCTGAAGGTTCGACTGTGTGCTGAAAGTATCGACGGTTGTGTCGTGAGCAAGTTCGGACGATAGTTACTTGAATTCAAAACCGGTGTTTCGGTTATTGAAATATCTCCGTTACACACACGAAGCTGGTTGTTGCGTTGGTTATTTTAGCAGAATGTTGTTAAAAATTTATTTGCTCTCGACCCACATTCACTCTTTGAGAAAATCTTACAAACTATTTCAGGCAGCAAAGCAGTTTGTAAGAACAAGGTATTTTGAGCATACATAAGCTTACAAAGGAAATACTTCGTAATTTACCAACTTTATTCTTCGTTGAACAAAGTAAATTAGTTTGTACGTAGGTATGCACAAAATACTTCGTAAGGTTTTAAGGGTGCTTTTCTTGAAGGCACGATGTTCCAATCATGAGGAAGCTTTGACTCTCGTAAATTAGGTTTTCCGCAACTTTGAATCAAGTCGGGGAAATTGAGAGAGTCGTTTCAAATCCAATCGTTTACACAAGGCCGAGTTTTAACACCTTCACGCCGGTGCGAACGGTCCCTTGCCGCGATTTCCCATCTCTTTAATTTCACGTCGACGCGTAGGTGTTAAGGAACACAATTAATATCGCACTAAAAAGCCAGATTTGTTTCTGAAATCGCAGTTTCATGGGATGCTACCGGTCGTAGCGTGTTAATAGTTATGTTCTCAAGCTTCCTATAAGCACACTCTCATTCCAGGAACGTGACATCACGTTGAAACGAACGTGACAAAACGTCACGTTCGTTTGAGCATTGTGTCACGTTCGTTTGAATGTGAACAAGCTGATTTTTGGCCAATTCACACCCAAACGAAATGTCACGTTCGTTTCAACGTGATGTCACGTTCCTGGAATGAGAGTGCTGCGTTATTTTTGATAATTAATGAAAGTAAACATTAATGTTTTGTTCAGTTGGGGAGTCTTCTGACATAGCACGAGCACCACCTAAGGCGCTAAAGAAGAAGACAAGGAAGAAGTCGGAGGCAGCTATCCAGAACTCTGCGGCACGCGAAGGCGATGTCGCCACGAAGGGGGCGGAAGGAAAGGACCGGAATCTCCCCGTAAATCCTGCAGCCTCTGACGACGACGATTGGCTCGTGGTTGACCACTTGTTTGACCCATGGCCGGCACCTGGTGCTAAGGTAGTCGACTACTCATCTGAAAAGAAGGATATCACCCAGAAGGTTTTGAGGAAAGGGGTGAGTTTATACGTCGATTGAATTACAACGTTGACTCCATTTGTTTAATGAAGGACACTTGCCTACATTTTAGCATGCTCTGTTTGTGTTTCCAATGTAATGATAGCATTTTCAACGTATGCTTTCACTTCAAACCTAACTGTCTGCTTAGTACACTTACATGTATAAATGCTTGCTTGCAAGTGCGCACTTACAAACACATACTTGGCACTTGGCCATGTACACACTTACAATTGTTTGCTAGGCAAGTACACACAAACGCATAGCATTTGGGTCATTCTACAGAAATGTTACAATTTCACGTTTAGAACTGTGAAAAATTAAAAGTTGTCCGATTTCATTCATATTGGGCTTGTTTTTCTTGTTTCGGCATGCATAATGTGAAACAATATCAAGCGTCACACTTTTCGAGAAAAAAATTTTTTTCCCCAGAAATCATAGGGGAAATGTCTACGGAGTTTACATTAATTGACGCCTACGGAGTTTACATTTTGAAGCAAATACCTGGATTGCAGCCGTTTGAGTTGGAACAGTAGAACGCGCATACACAGCTGACTAAAGGACCACCAAAGCATTGTTTTTATCCACATTTTGAAAGTTTGACCCACAGGGGGTCCGTGGCAAATCGGGTACGGAGTTTACATACAAAAAAAATACGCAACCCTCTTTTTGAAATTTGGGTACCAATCAGGTGCTGGCCATTGGAATCACATTCTTCAAACTTGGTGGCTAAATGTGTTTTTTCATCCGGAATCCATCGCAGTCTTCAGATTAAGGCTGCGACGTTCCGTTTGTCTGCTATAGCGCCAAACTCGTTACAGTGCACATGTTGATTTTAGGGAAGTAAAAACTTCGGGACAAAAGTTAATTCTGTGCAGGCACAAAGCTTCAAACTTTTTACTAAAGTCAGTGGGATTAAGTTAAAGTATGAAAGTGCCTTAGCAAATAGAGCCGTCGGGAATGGTTGTCCTGCGTCTCGTTTGGACGTACGAGAGGCGCAAACTCAGTGAACCACGCATCGGGACACACTGAGAATCCAAACGCTATGAGTATAGCGTCAATTGGTGCAATGCAAAAGCATTGCACATGAAGTGCAATGCCTCCCTATTCCCATGCATTAGCATAGGGCATTTTCGGGATGCATTGCACTTAAGGTGCAATATGGCTGAGGCATTGCACGTATGGTGCGATATGTCGACGCATTGCACCACACGTGCAATACTCATAGCGTTTGGAATTTCAGTGCAGCCACGGAGTTTACACTTTGCACCTTTCGGAGGCCTCAGCCATCTGAAAACCTCAGAAACTTTCAAACCCAATAGTGGATCATTTTGAAGCACAAAAATCACCATCTCACTGCGCAAACCGCGTCTTTCTAGGAGGAACCGTTTCGTCACAAAAGAGCAGGGACATCAAATTGTAACATTTCTGTAGAATGACCCATTTGTAAGTGTGTACTTGCAAGCATGCATTTGTGTTCTAAGTAGACAGTTAGGTTTTTAGTGTTTATTTCTTCCTTGCAATTTACTCTATATGGTCAAAATTGAACATGAGATAGAGGGGGCGGTCGACGGCGCGCTACAGTGTGTTCGCATCTCCAATGTGTGTTTGGTTCCATTTCGATGGTCATTTTGGGCCCTTTTGTACTTGTCCTTTGATCGTGCGGCCCCTAAGGCGTCCTCTCTTTTCACGAGGCACTCTGAAAACTAAGGTATCAGCTCACACTTAAGTGCTCTGCGTAAGTGTGCTTAGTGCTCCCTAAAGTTTTCAGTGCCACTGAAGCGGTCCTCACCGAGCTTGCTGTTGCAGGTGCGACGACTGAGCAGCCTGTGGTGCCCCATCGACCCGGCGTGGAACATGGCCTTGCTGCGTGCGGCCGCGCCGACAGTGGAGGCGCTGCACGTGCGCGTGGTGCAGGCGGAGCACCTGTCGGTCATCCACGCCATGCCGCGCCTCCGCCGGCTGTACGTGGCCTGCGACCCCGACCTCTACGCCAACCCCATCTCGCTGCCGCCGCTGCCCGCGGGCCACCCCGGCGGCCTGCACTGGGTGCGCGCCTACATGCCCAAGGCCACCTTGGCCTCGCTGGTGCGCGGCCACGCTCACTCGCTGCGCGAGCTGGTGGTTTGCGCCGGCACGCGCGGCCCGCCCGGCTACGAGGACCACTACCCCTACGCCTGCACGGACCTGAGCGCCGTGTTCCGGGGCGGCGCGCTGCCTGCCCTGCGCCGCGTCGTGCTGTGGAGGAGCGCGTCCTTCGTCCACGGCGAGGTGGACTGCCGGGTGCAGCTAGCCGCCATCAGGGCAGTGCTGGGTGCTGCGGTGGCAGTGGTGTGCACCGGCTGCACGAAGAACGTCCGCGAGGACCGATTCCACGAGCTGTGAAGTCCTGCAGCGTCACCATGTGGTCGGTTGTTAGGTCACATACTGTTTATGAAAACATTTATTAATTAATTCAGTGCCAAGGCCCAGGTTTTATGTCCGCATTGCATGAGGAGTTTGATTTTTTTAAATTCATGTTGTTTTTAAGTAAGGTTTTATTTGAGTTTGCATTACATTGTGTGCCATTTTTAGTCTAAGTTTTTGATTTAATGTCATGACATCTTCCTGTCCATTTTAGCCCAAAAAATATTATAGCTTGCATTAGGCATGTGTTGAATTGTGACGTAAGTTTTAGTATGATTTGAGTTCCACATTAATCTGAACCATACCCATTCAGATTTTATCAACTTGTATTGCATGTACTTGTCGATTTTAAACCAACTGTTCACATTACTTTCCCTTGTCCTGGACGGTGATTTAAAACGAAAGCGTTGTAATGATTTGATTTTCATTCAAGTTTTATACAAATTTGCTCCGCATCCGAGTTTTACATCAATTTGCACCGCACGCAAGTTTTTGATTTGTTTGCACGTGGCAGTTTGAAATTGTTTTAATTCTGAGTTCCAAGCTTTGTAATAAAATGTGGTCTTTACTCCATTCCTTCGTGGTTCATTTTCCCCTCTTTTTACAACGCTGCTCACCCTCATTGTAATTTTGTAGTTTTTTATCAACAGACGCTTTAAGAGTTTTCGGACATGCAATAAAACATATTGAGGTCTTGCTGCTCTGTGAAAATTTGTTGTCACTTTATGACAAAAACGTGACATGGTCATCACTTTGAAATGATGACAATCTTGTCACAAATTGATGACATTTTCATCAAAGCTCCTATACTAATTGCATGGGCGTGACAACAATGTCATCAATTGACTTGATGACATCCTTGTAAGGAAAATTAGCCTTGAAATTGTCATCAAGTGACGACTCAAATTTTCACAGTGTGTATGTACACTCTCAATGTCTTACAATGAAAGTTGACCCGTTATTCGTATGTTACAGTGGATTCGGCGCAAGCATATTACGAAGGAATATACGAATCTTTTTAGCTTTTTCAATGTAAGATACAAAGAAAAACCTTCGTAATACGAAGAAAAACCACCTTCGTATTATGCTTGCGCCATTTCCTTCGTATTATGGGAAATTTCTTTGTAAGACATTTAGAGTGTACTGTTTTCAGCGCAGCGCACCGAGGCCAAGTAGATCATAAAGTGCATTAACGTTCGTGCTAAGGTGCCTACGAGAATCTGGTTCACACCTTGGGAGGTACGAGGGGGTGGTTAGTTACGGACACCAATATTTAAGGCCATGGGGGACTCCCGAATGAAATGTGATTGTGAACTGACTCTTGTTTGTAAGGAGGTAACCGATTTTTAACCGACACGGCCATGAATGGTGCAGTAAAGTGGTCTTGAGAAGACGGGTTAAAATTCAAAATTTTGTTACGCACTGTCCCACTTTCTAAAGTCCACTCTACAAATCAAAGAGTGTAAATAGTATGCTCTAACTGGTGCATGCCTGCAAGCACGCTCTAGCTAGCGCATGCCTGCCAAGCATGCACTAACTAGAGCATACATGCCATGTACACGCTTCCTGATGCAGAAAACTCCCTATCCCTTATGCAGTAAATGTATGCTCCAGTTAGCGTGTACATGGCATGTATGCACTAGTTAGTGCATGCCTGGCAGGCATGCGCTAGTTAGAGCGTGCTTGCAGGCATGCTCCAGTTAGAGCGTATCATGTACACTCTTTGATTTGTAGAGCACGCTCCAAACAGCAGTCAAGTACCCCCGCGCGACCGTCCCGTCCCTCTCTGGTCCCTTCCACCCGGGCCGCTGGGTGACTCATGACCGTCGCTTCCCCCTCCGCTCCCCGCCAAGTCGACTGCCTGCAAAGCTAGGCTGGCGCCACTGGGGCACGCCGGTCTCCCTTGCTGGAGCCAGTCACAGCAGGGGATGGCAACGGCCTAGGGAGAGCGTGAAGCGATGCTCGCGCCGTCAGTGCAGGTTGCGCACTTGTTCGAGAGTATGAAAACTAGACTGCGTTTTTCAACACGCTTTGCACCGATGCGATGGAAAGGGTTTGAAATTTAGGGTGCATTAGGCTTATTGCTCTTCTCGAAACTCCCCCCTTACCTAATATTAAGGTGCAGTGAAATTACCGAAAAACACGAGAAATCATTAAAGTTAGGAAAAAACTCGCAAGCGCCATGTTGATGTAAATGATTCCGCCCTTGTGTTCGGTTGAATTGGTAGTATCAAGCAGTCTACTAGGCCTAATGCACCCCAAATTTTTTGCTCTTTTGATCCGTGCAAAGCGTTTTCCAATCAACGGCCTAGATCTTACAATCGAAGCAAAGTAAGTAACCCCTGCACCTCGCTCGCGCATGGCTTCGGCGCGAAAGTGTTCACTACACGCTTTAGTCGACAAGTCGGTTTAGTCAAGAGTCCATGATCGACTAAGTAGTAGTTGATAGTCGATAGCCTTTAGTCGATTAATCGGTTGGTTGTTGGTCATCTTTGCCGTCCCTCCTTGCTGCTTCTCTGCGAACTGTAGTGTGTACTCGGTATGCGTCTACAGATCCATACTTGGAAGTACACACCTACACACTCAACATCTTATGATCGTTTTTATGTGTATTACGATGGTTTTTCATCGTAAGGTACGCATAAATTTGCACATACGTAATATGCTTAATTTTTAATCGTATTACTTATATCATCGTATTACGCATGAATTTCATCGTATTACGCATGAATTTTATCGTAGTACGTATGTTCTCATTTCAACGTATGTTACGATGGACCTTTCATCATAAGAATCTGAGGGTGTACAGATGCATATATGCTATACGCATATATGCTAAGTATACTTAGCTGAGTACACATCTGCAGATCCATACTCAGCTGAGTACACTCTACAGTCTGTAGAGTTGTCCGACTGGCAGACGATCTCAGTGGAGTGGACGCCGAGCCTGCTCGCCGTATCATCGACAAAAACCTCAGTGTTTGTAACTGCGCAGTTACAAAAACTGAGGTTGCAACAAGAAGTTCGGTATCTGTATCCGGTGCACAGCTGGGTGATTGCACACAAAATCTATGTGTGCACTCAGTTCACACTTCTAGATGCGTGCTTACAAGCATGCACTTCTAGGTGTGTACTTGCCTAAGCACGCACCTACAAGTGTGTACTTGAATGAGTACACACATAGAAAAGCATGCGTTTTCCCTATGCCGCGCATGCACCTCGCAAGTGTGTGAAGTGTGTACTCATTCAAGTACACACTTCTAAGTGCGTGCTTAGGCAAGTACACACCTAGAAGTGCATGCTTGTAAGCACGCACCTAGAAGTGTGTACTGAGTACACACATAGATTTTGTGCGTGTCTAACCTAACCTTTACCTGCTTTCTTGCGCTGGAAAATAACTTAGTGAACTGAGCTTCTTACCCTTTGAGACATACTTTAGGACGCGACGCTTTGTCGATGACGTCATGGACGATGGACGATCCATAACCTCACACTTCGAATATCTGCCTACCCCTTGCTATCAAGCCAATTTGACACGGATTTGGCGTGCCGGGACGATTGATGACAAGTTTCTGAAATGTCCGCCACCGGTCTTTGGGCATAGTGGGGTCAACTAAAAGTTTGGTCGTGATTTAAAGTCGCCATGCGGGCACCGAGGTTTACCGCACACTAAATGTCTTACAATGAAATTTGACCTATGTTATTCGTATGTTACAATGAATTCGGCGCAAGCATAATACGAAGCAATATTCCTTCGTAATACGAATCTTTTTAGCTTCTTCATTGTGAGATACAAAGAAAAACCTTCGTAATACGAAGAAAAACCACCTTCGTATTATGCTTGCGCCATTTCCTTCGTATTATGGGAAATTTCTTCGTAAGACATTTAGAGTGCGACTGCGCGATCCGCCGCCAGAGTGTGCCACCTTACTGGGACCTTGAAGGTGGAGAATTTCCACCAGGGGGGTCATTGCTTTTTGAGAGTGTAATTAAGAGAAATATCAGAGTACTAACGTTTGAGCAATCTTTTCAGGGGTGGGCAGGTTTCCGTCGGTGAAGGTTAACAGACCTGTGGAGCCGCAATTCGGAATAATTACCGCATTTTGTTATTTATGAATACGGAAAGTATTTAGTTTCTTTGCTATGAAATATATGACAAAATCATTGATATATGTCCGGCCATCAGTGAAAGCAGGAGCGAAAGAAACACACAACAGAAGTAAGAAGGTAGAGAAAGGAGATAGCACGCCTCGAGTGCCGAGCACAATGCCAGCCGAGGCCGCGCAGTGGGCCAGAAGACCGGTGCAGGCGGCAAAAATTCTAGACGCGTTTTGAGCTTTACTGTCAATAAACAGGACAGAAATCGAACGTGTGACCCCACCAATGGATTCTTCGTTCGGAGAGCGATCTACTGATGGGGTCACACGTTCGGTTCGAGTCCCACTTAGCGACTCAGGAGCTCAAAACGCGTCTAGAGTTTTTGCCGCCGCCACTGGTCTTCTGGCCCACAGTGGGCCGGTGCAGTGCACTGGGGTGCCGTCGGGCCGAGGAGACGGGCGCACCGGGCCGACGAGGGCCCCACGTCGCGCTGCCCGGCAAAGTCTCAAGGACGCCGTCATGGTGCGCGTCGCGCGCGCAGTGCTCACCCTGGCCGCATCGTGCTGCGGGGCCGTGGCTTCCTCGCCGACGACGTACCGCTCCGGAAGTCAGTATACTTACTCTCAGACTGCTATTGACTTTTTTGTCCTTTGTTAAAGAGTATTTTACACAGCAATAAAAAGTACTATTTCCTCAATACTTATGTAGGATTTTGTTCGTCATATTGACATAAAGTCAATTTGCTATTGACAAAGAGTCAATACGCAATTGACTTAAAAAATAGTCAATAATTGATGACATTTTAGTCTTTATAGTGAACAATATTGTACATGGTTACAAAGGAAATACTACATATTATTGCTGCTTAAAAAACTACGTAAGCAAAGGACAAAATGTCAAGAATGGAGAAAAAAAGTCAATACGAGTCTTAAATATATTTATACATTTTTGGGGCGTGTCTCTACACTGTGAAAATTTGAGTCGTCACTTGATGACAATTTCATGGCTAATTTTCCTTACAACAATGTCATCAAAAAAGTTGATGACATTGTTGTCACGCCCATGCAATAAGTATAGAAGCTTTGATGAAATTGTCATCAATAGGGTACTTCGGAGAAACGGCTGTCTCCGTGCAGGAAGATGCCTGGCACATTTGCACACCCGAACCGAACCCGAAGCGCTTCGGCTCCGAGCGGCACCTCTGTAGTGTATGACAAATTACACGGAACGTGTTTTGAGTTTTGTGGATCTAGAAGGCTGTGAACTTCCGGATACCCGGATACTGCAACTGTAGTACCGTAAACCGGGGTAACTTGAGACAATATTTAACGTTTTTTGGACCGTGTGTCCACAAAACTTTTCTCACCAACCCGAATCCCAACTATGTTTTATTTCACATGATTTCTTTCGGTTTGGACCCCACGAATTTTTGGGGGGTCTCCTAAAATGAGAGTAATGGGCCTCTAAAGTTGTCTCAAGTTACCCCGTCATATGGGGTAACTTGAGACACGCCTAGTTTTTACTTCGCTTTTTCGCGGAAGTGGGGTTTTTGCCAGTCCGCACTGATTTTCTGAGACACTTAACTCATTTTCAATGAAAAGTACTACTTGTGGAATATATTAGAAGATTTTTGATCCTTATATTAAGATTTTTTCATCAAGGTTACATTTGGCAATTTGAGGGATAACGGCACTTCAGAAGCGCAACGATTCTCCCATTTCACATCCAACTCTGTCAACTAAGTACAGCGATTCTCTCAATTCACATCCAACCCTGACACCTGTTAAGACATTTTTCTTTATTTTACGTTCACAAGTCCATTCCTGCAAAGGTATATAGTCTTAGTCAATTATTAAAATTTACTCAAAATCCTTAAACTATTTTTACAGTTGTTTTTCTTCAAAAAATCGACGGCTCTTGGGCTATAAGTTGTTCGATTTCAATGATATTTAGCTCGTTGGAAAGGTAATTAAATTCCTCATCTTTTGAGACCTCAAGATTTATTATATCTCATCTGGTCCGTGTGTAGTTGAGAAAACACTCCAACTTTAAGCTGCATATCCACTTGGGACCCTCTACACTGTCTGAAAAAGTGATTCCCGACCAAATGCGGCTTAGTTTTGATCTTAGAACGGAGAGGTCCGTTACTTTAAACCACCCTGTAGAACAAGGAGGTGCCAGTGTCAAGCTACGCCTCTCAACTTCCGTCAAATTCAATGAAATTTGGTGTCTCAAGTTACCCCGCACAGTTACCATTTTCTATAAAAGTCAGTATTACCCGATGAATGATGGGTTTCCCTCAAAACCAATGCTGCATTTAGAATGTTGAAATAATAGGGTTGAAAGGTACTACAGTCATTTGGGTCTCAGCAAGACGTGTTTCGAGTACCAAGAGAGACTTGTAACACTTCTCTAAAATTGTTAAATTTACCAAAATTGAAAAATCGTTATAGATCTGACCAGCTTGGTCCCAACCCGCCGTTCACACGCCTAATCGTCTTTTCAAACAAGTATGAAAAAAAGTGCTAGGGCAGTTTTGACCTACGAATGTGCCGAGCCAGGTGGCAGCTCCAAAAAGGTGGAAAAGCAGAAGTGTCTCAAGTTACCCTTGCTCTCTCAAGTTACCCCGGTTTACGGTTTGTTCTTATCAGTATAATAAATCACTTCTTCGGCAACCAGTGTTTTGATCAGATATATCTCCAGTTTCCCAAAGCATCCTGAAGAACCTCAAGTCTAACTATATCTGAGGAAGGGCTCACAAGCCCGTGGAAATCCCTAAACACGTTATTGGCGACGAGGAATGCAAGAATTCATGCAAGAGGGAAGTACAAGTGATTAGAAGAAATTGAAGAAATTCTGCACGCGGAGCCGCCATCATGGCGCAAGCAGCTCAAGTGTGGCTGACTACGTTGGGAGAAATTCACCCGTTCGATCCAAATTCGCGTCAACCTTGGAGCCAATGGTTTGCATTATTCAATTTATTTTGCGATACCAATCTGATGGAGCAAGAGCCTCGGAATGAGGAAAGCTTTTACTTGGCCGCTCCAAATCGGCGTCGGACTTTCTTCCTCACGTCGATCGGTGCACGTGCTTATGCAATCGTGCATGCGATGGCGCTGCCTCACAATCCTTAATTTTCTATCGCGGATCTGGCTGCAGTTCTCGAGCAAAACTTCGAGAACCCTGGTTTGGTAGAGCCTAATCGCCAGAACTTTCACACGAGGATGCAGAGAAGTAACGGATCTGTAATGGAATACGTAAGGGAAGGTGGGGTACCATGTGACGGTTTTTGTTAAGTGTCCGTCAACCCAATACTACCAATCACATTACATCCATAAGTAGTCATGTGAACAAAATGATTCTTCACCTTAAAATTTCTGTTGAGATTTCTAATTTATCTGTTTTGGTTGCTGAGTTATCTCCAGTTGGATGGGCCAAGTCAAAGTGTCACTTCGTACCCCACGTCGTACACTATGTGACAGCCTTAGTGCACCATGTGACAGTGGCCTTTTGTCAGGGTTCAAATCCTATTCAGCGTATCTATACGCAAAGAATGAATGAAGAAGTCTTCCAGCTTTTTATTTCCGTTGAGTTTATCAATTTATCATCTTTGGTTCCCGAGCAATGAAGGTTTTAGTTATTAGTGTACAAATGTCATGGGCTGAACACATTCAACTGAGTGAATCGTGGAATCCCATAGCGAATGACAGTAGTGTCACATGGTGCCCAGATCAACAGTTTTAGGGGAAACAGCAATAACGCTCAAAGTTTATGCCGTAGAGAATCGAGCCAAAACTTATTTTGCGCTTAAAACATCAAAGAAGAACATCTTGCAGAGCATATGTCCTTAAAATGTATGTTAAAGGTAAAAAGCGGACGCGGCGGGAAATAGAAAAAGTTTCCAATGAGCTATTTTAAGACTATTTCCAATTCTGATCGCTACCATTCCCGTCCTATTCGAAGGAGAGTCACGACCTATTGCACGTCGATTCTCCTTCATGATACCTTCCTTTGAGTCTTCTTACCGCTGTTGGATAGCAAGCCGTTTGGGAGAAAAAGCCAAAGTCACATGGTGGCCGTGTCACATGGTACCCCACCTTGCCTTACTAGCCCTTCAAGAATTAGCTCAGTACTGTGCATTTGGTACCCATTACACTGCAGCCCTCAAATCCCAGCTCATCATGGGTGTGCGACATGCTGATACCAAGACCAAGCTTCTCAACAACCCAGCTATGACTTGGGATCAAGCCAAAGCCAGAGCCATCCAAGATGATATGGTTCGGGAGCAGATCAAGCAGATAGCGTCCGCTCAAGTTCAGCAAGTGCATGAGATTCAAGTCAAGAAACAGGAGAACTCGCAGCCGCAGCCAGAGCAGAATCAAGCCAAGAAGAGTGAGCGTAAGTTCACCCCATGCTGGTACTGCACTAAGCTTCACAATGGGCAGAATTGTAAAGCTCAGAAGTGGACTTGCAACAAGTGTCAAGAAGTGGGGCATGTGATTCCTTCAAGAAACGCTCTCAAGTCTAACTATATCTGATGAAGGGCTCACAAGCCCGTGGAAATCCCTAAACACGTTAACCTCGGCGGCCTCGGCCAGGCGGCTTCGGCGGCTTCGGCGGGGAAGGAAGGGCGATGGGAGGCTTCTCTGAAACTCCAGAGACGAAGTCGGACGAAGTTGTCCAACCTATTGTGACCAAACCTAACGGGCTCGCAACAGATCTTTCGATACAATCTTGAAAGCTGTCAAAGCAAACAACTTCGCGGTACAAATTATTTTCCGACATGGCGTGTGGCTCCATGTCTCCAGCTTTGCACACCGCGAACTTCTCTTCACTTTGCAAAGAAATAGTGCGTAAGTTGCTCCAAAAACGCAACGTTGCGAAGAGATGGTTTGTGAACTTCCAAAGCGATTTCTTTGAAAGTTCGAAAGTAATAGTTAACAAAGCAAAGAAAAAACTTTGTAACAGAGAGACCTTTTACGGGGCATACTTAGCAAGGATTTAAGAGCGTACCAACGGCAGCTATTACGCTACTGGTGGCGGATCCGCAGATCTGAGGTGTCACGCAGACAAGGTCAATAAAAATAATTAAAAAAACTCGGTACTCTCCGAGTATTATCTGCTTTATGTTAAAGTATAAAACCATAAACCCGCCCCAGCAATGAGAGGCCGCGTCCAGCCGCCGTTCCCCCACCCATGGGCTTGCCCATGGGCCGGCGCCCGAACCGATGTGCAAATGCGCCAGGCATCTTCCTGCATTGAGACGCCAGTTCGGAGACGAGCTGGACCGGAAGTTGAGAAGAAATCAAGAAGAAGAAACGCCGGACTTGTTGGCTGAGCGATAGCGAAGCCTGTTACTCCAGTGGGGTTGAAAAGTTTTTTCTGTCTGTCTGTCTGTCTGTCTGTCTGTGTGTCTGTCTGTCTGTGTGTCTGTCTGTCTGTGTGTCTGTCTGTCTGTGTGTCCGCACTACTCCTCCTGAACGGCTCGGCCGATCTCGGTGAGATTTTGCACACTCTTTGGGTATGTCCTTGGCTCGGCACACGCGAAAATTCACTACCCTAGCTCAACTGGTTCAGTTTTTATAGCCGAAAAACACCTAAAAAACGGCGAGAAATCGAGTTTTCTGCAGATTGGTCACTTCTGTTTAGGAGAAAGGGGGGTCTGGGGGGCGCAGCCCCCCAGCCGACAAGTTAAAAAGTGACAAGGGCCAAGATCGTGTTATCTGTAGATAAAATCACTCTATTTAGAATGTAGGGGGGTCTGGGGGGCGGAGCCCCCCAGCATGCAACAAGTTAATAAAAAATAACCGACAATGGACAAGCCATTGCCTGCCGCAGGCAGGCTAGCGCCGCAGGCCAAGGTAGGTACGCCAAGCGCGGATTGGAGAAACAGGCAGCGAGACAGCGCGAAGCCTGTTACGACAAGACGCGGTCTGGCGTAAACCTACCTTGTATGAGAATGTAACTCTGCGGAAGCGGCAGAACGGCGACGCTGACGCTCATTCTTACGCATTTCGCATACTTTGTTCTTCTAGATTTCTTCTCAACTTCCGCTCCAGCTCTTCTCCGAAGTACCCTATTTGTGATGAGATTGTCATGATTTGAAAGTGATGAAAATGTCACCCGCGTTTTTGTCATAAAGTGACAACAAATTTTCTCAGTGTAGGGATGAAGAACTGGTTGTTTTGATGATGGCTTTAGACTGAACTGCTGCTCTTTTATAGGAATCAGAAATAGAAGTTGCTCGTGCGGCTTTATTCGCCGAAAAGCTTCTGCATTTCCGTACAATACTTACGTGTGCGTGTTCTCATGACCGCATTGAGAAAGGGAAAGGGAGGGAGTGGTGTCCAATAAATATGGTAGGCAAAGTAGCACTGAACCAGGCCTGGGCCACTTGATCACTAAGACCGTTTTTCTGTCACACAGAGTCTGACTTCAAATATTCATTAGTGAAGATGCGAATTACTTGTTTGGGTAGGAAATCACTAAAATAGAGTGGTGTCTGAGGCAGCATTAGGGTCTTCCCCGTGTACCTAAGGGATAACGCGCGATTCACTGATTTGCAGTGAAGAAAGAAGAAAGTGTGTAAACTCTTTGTTAACGTTTTACGTCAATTGAGTTTAGAGCATACACAGTACAGACCAGATTACTTTGGTATACGAAGGAACCGAAGTTTGTAAATGATCAATTATTATCTAATGAAGCTCAAAACGCTTTGTTTTTAGGCTGCTTTTTTTAAGGCCAATGATAGTTTGTAAGGTTTTCAGAGTGCACCTCTGCTGTTAAGATAGTCCTAAGTCCGCACAAACAACAGGTTTGTCTTTGATCGGCACTGACAGGATCCTTTTAGTAGGAGGCGTCGACTTGTAGGTTGTTTACAGGCGTTCCCGAGGTGGCGGTGACAGCGGCGCGGTGCAGCCAGTTCTGGGCAAAGCTCTGCGGCCGGCAGGACTGTGTGCCGGTGGTGCTCGTGGCGGGGTGCGCCCCCAAGCCGTGCAATGGCGGGTCGACCGCCGCATCAGACGAAGGGTAAGAGAAATTCGTTCTTGAAAATTCGATCTGAATGCCCTGTACACACTGAAATTCGAAGGGTGAGACATCTCACCAATTTTCGGCGATACAATATGTATCACCGAAAAAATGGTCGTACACGCATGTATCACCGAAAAAAGGGTCGTACAGAAATGTATCACCGAAAAAACGGTGAGACATCAGCGAGATTGGCCCTTGTTTTCCTGGGGAAGTATCACCCTTTTTTCGGTGATACATTTGTGTACGACCATTTTTTCGGTGATACATGCGTGTACGACTATTTTTTCGGTGATACATTTTAGTATCACCATTTTTTCGGTGAGACAGTTATGTCTCATCCCTCAGAGAGTGAGATGTATCACTATTTGATTTTCAGTGCACCAGCTGTAGACGCATTTAAATATCTACGAGCCTGGGCAAAGGTGGATTATAGCCGGAGATAGTAGTGTAACTGAGATCTGAAGCACTTTTTCCTGCCTGATCAGACAGCTACAAGGTTTGTTTTCATGCTTATGAACAAAGCAGGGCTAGCAACTGGTGTACACCTCCAACCCAGTGGTTGTGTCTCGTGTTCCGGAACTTGAAGAACTTGAAGAACTTGAAGAAAAACAATCCCACTTATGTTTTTTCATTTTGAATCGTGTACACCAGAAGCAAATAGCCCCAAAACTAGTCAATTTGGCACGTTTTTGTTGTGTTGATCCCCTTGCGTTTCGTGTAGCGGACGAGTGCGGAAAAGTTATCATCGGGGCATCTTAATATACATGTAAGGGAAGGGAAGCGCCTCGCACCAATAACTCCGCCCCATCGGGCCCCATCGATGTCCGAAACTCCAAAGTGTGTTTTTTAATGTTTTGAACGCATTTGTAGCAAAAACCCGCCACCGTGAGCCAAACCGCGAACGAAATGTTGCGCTGTGTGCTGCTTTCCTTTGATTAATGATGAAACGAAAAGAAAAACACGCCAGCATACCAGAAGCATCGCCCTCATTGGAAAAATAAGGGGGGGCGCAGCAAGTGAGCCAGGTTAGCAACTGCGCCAGGTTAGCAAGTGAGCCACGTTAGCGAGTGAGCCAGGCTGTCGACTGCGCCAGGTTAGCAAGTGAGCCAGGTTGTCAGCTGCGCCAGGTTATCGGATGTCGCAGGCCTGCAGTTGAGCCAGGTTAGCGACTGCGCCAGGTTTGCAACTGAGCCAGGTTAGCGAGTGAGCCAGGTCGGCGGGTGAGCCAGGTTATGGTGCGGCAACGCTGCACTGCCGCGGCCCCCTGCCACCACACCTTCGCCCCGCCTCCCAACCCCCACGCTCCAGAGGAGGCGGAGGCAAGGGAGGGGGCAGCGAGTGCTGCAGCAGCCGGCTAGCCACTAGCCCGTACCGCTCTCGGATGGCGCTAGATGCACGGAGGCTGGTGGCGTAGTGGTACCGCAGCGGATTCGCATGCGTCGCGTCCGTGATTCGAAACTCACTATTTGCTCTCATTTTAGGCATTATTATTTTTTCGTCATTTAGATATAAAATTGTCTGACTTAGAACAGGGTTGATCGATCGCTTTGGTTACAAAGACAACACTTCGAAAATTCAGTGTTTTGAAGGTGATGCCTGGGGAAATCTTATAACAAATGTCTGAGGTGGTGAAAACTGTAAGGTATTAATGTTATGTGTGGTAAACTAATCCACTCCAAGTTTCTTCCTAACCCCACCAACCATTAAGCCGCAGTAGTTTGTTTTCAACGAAATAGAGTGTTTCGTAGCAAAGTCAGCCACATCTGCCCCAAAAAAGAATCGCTGACATTTTTGCTGAATCACTGCTTTTACTGCCGACTCTGGTTAGCTGATAAAGTCAGCTGCAAGTCACAGATGCAAGTAAAGAAAATGTGATGAGTTTTCTGGGTACACCATCTTTGCAATCAATAAGCGAAGCTTAATCGTTGCCCAGAGCCAAACTTGTGTCTGGGTAACTAACCCTGAATATACTTTTATAAAAATTCTTCACCACACAAATTTGCATCAAGAAAAGCATCTCCACTCCCTTCTCTTCTTTAAATGAAGCTCACAAATGAAGCTCACGGAGCAGTTTTTACTTTTTTTCATTAAAAATTGTTTACTTTTAGAAGTTTTGGTAAAAATTGTAAGAATTGGAGCAAAACTCCAGATTAAACCATTCAGAATGAGTTGAAACTTTTGGGCTGAAGATTGCTGTAATTTAACTCATCATACTCAAATCTTTACACAGAAGTTTTCGGTTTGGTAGGCGTTCCATCAAATAAAAAGTTCAAAGACAGATATAAAATCTTACGAGAACCAAAATTTTAAACGTTTCTACTAAATTTCCAAAAAGTGTCCAAAGTCACTTTACTTTATGCCAAAATGAAGCTTACTCAATTATCTAAAATGGTTTTAATAAATAAAAATTTTATCCTTCTACATCAAAAAAAAATTTTTGCAAAGTGCTTTTAACATGTATGAGCCCTCTTAAATTCAAAATCATTCTTGTTAGATATTCTATTTTCTTTGAAAAGTAAGGACGAAAACAACCTTGTTCCCCTATTTCATTTAACCCAGTGCAAATAAAAAACATATGGAGAGTCTCTCTTGGTGCACCACCACTGTAATCATTAAGTGAAGCTAAATCGTAACCTAGAGCCGAAGTTGGGTTTGGGAAGTAACCCTAAAATATAGTTCCATAATAATTCTTTACCACTCAGAACTGTATCAAGAAAAGCATCTCAACACTATCAGCTTCTTCAAATGGAGCTCATAGAGTGGTTTACATCTGATTTTCATTAAAAATGTTGGATTTTAGGAAGGTTTAGTAAAATGTAAGAAATGGAGCAAAATACAAGTCAAAACCATTCAGAATGAGTTGAAACTTTTGAATGAGCTGAAGATTGCTGTAATTTAACTCATCATACTCAAATCTTTACACAAAAGTTTTTGGTTTGGTAGGCGTTCTATCAAATAAAAAGTTCAAAGACAGATATACGACGGAAAGGATTGAAATGTCTAAGAGGCAATTTTAAAGGAGAAAAATAAGTTTTTCACTGTAAAGAAGGCTCAGAGGCGCTTCCCCAACACATTTCCTCTATTGGAAATGAATGTCAAAGATTTAACAGAAGTTAAATCAATAAAGTCAATACTAGGTTTGTTTACACACCACCTAGCCTGAAATGACAGGTTATGAGTTCATGTCAACAATAATAAAGCAATGACAGTCTACAAAAATGACTTGACTCGCTTTGAAACTAGTTTGGGAAAACAACGTGTACCTTCTTTTCACTAAATAGAGTTGTTCTGTTATCTTGGAGAGAAAAAATTGTTACTTCAAAAAAAAAGTTAAAACCATGTTTTGTTCAAAACTTTGTTCAAAAAAATGTTTAAAGAATAGTTTTTCTTTCCTTTAAAACTATTGCAGATAAGAAGCCCATTCTAGTCAATTCCCCCCAGGCGTTCCTTTATGGGGCGCTGTTAGCAGAAAGGACAAGAAGTGTCAATACCCCATCTACACCAACGACTTCAGCAGGGAGTAGCGACAGAACACTCCGCCACTTCCAGGCCCTGCTCGGCGCCCCGCCGGCCGGCCCCGCGCCCCACGCGCCGCGGCTCCTCGACGAGGTCGTCGAGGCCACGGTCACGGAGGACGACAACGAGGCCCTGCTGCGCCCCGTCACCGCCGAGGAGCTCCTGGAGTGCCTCAAGCTGTCGCCGCGCGGCCGCAGTCCAGGGGACGACGACCTCACCGCGGAGTTCTACCTCGCGACCTGGGACGTCCACGGACGACTTCCAGGCCGTGGCGAACGCCATGCTGGAGCGTCGAAGGGTCGGTGCCAGCGACGTCCGCGGCGTGGTCACGCTCATCCCCTAGGTGCCCGCCGGCCCATCACGCTGCTCAACGTGGACGGCAAGGTCTTCGGCCGCGTTGTCGCGCGGCGCATGGATGCGCTGGAGCACAAGATCCTGGACCCCATGCAGGTGCGCGGCGGCTGCTCGCGCAACATGCACGGCGGGGTGCTGGACCTGCGCGATGCCATCTCCCTCGTCCGAGAAAACTCAGTATTTGCGACCGGCGGCGCGTCAGGCCTAGCGGTCCAGGCCGGCGCGCGCTGCTCCGCGCTCCGCTGGATACAAATACTCAGTTTTCTCGGCCACTAGTGCCGCTAGGAGAGATCCAAAGACACGTATGGGCTCGTGAGACACCCGCGCTTAGTGTTTGTAAAAGGCAAACCTTCCGATTTCCGTATCCGTACCACGAAAATGGTGCACTTTCGAACATCAAAATTGCAAAATCAACTGGAAAGCGATAAAAGTGAGATTTTAGCTACTTTTATTGGAATAAAATAAATCGGACGAGTACCGGCGAAAGAATTGTGCTTTTCTGGTCATTATGCCGGGATTACGGACATTTTACCTATTTTCGTTTCTCCAATAATGGCATTTAACGCAAAGGGTGTTCTTATGGCCTTCTTCAGGAGTTCTAAGTGACGCACAGGGTTTCGCGGAAGGGACTAAATTCGAGGAGATAGAGCACGCCGAGCTGTACAAGTTCCCGAAAAGTCCCGGTCTTTTCCCTCATTTCTTCCTTGAGAAATCTTGGTTTGTAAGTGAAGCAAGAAGACGCGCTCTAGGACCCTTACGCCAGCCGCTCCGAAAGCGTCGGCATTGTCTCGCTCTGTCCCACCCGTGCGCACACAAAGGCGGTGCGAGCGGGAAGGACGGCCTCTTCAGATGTGGCCCCTGATGGAGGGTGGGGGGAGAGCGTGGCGGCCGGTGGCGGCGCGTAGTGCTGTCGCCTGCCAGCGCGAATCCCGTCCGCCCGCGTCTCCGCACCGCTTCATTTGAACTCGATTTTCTCAGCTCTGGTTCAAGTTATAGAGAAAGTAAAAATACCGTCGTTGAGCTGAAGAATGGGCACATAACGTTTGTTTAAGGGTAATTTCCGAGTTTTTGCCTCATTTCCGAAATATGGCGAGATAGAAAACAGCGTTCAAATTGCTCTTGAACAA